AGCGCACAGCTGCATTTAGAACTTTATCCACTGACTGACCTATGAACAGGAGACATACCTTGCTATATTCTTTGTCTCACTTCCCAATAGAAGATGCATCATGGAATCTTACACACACACACACACACACACACACACACACACACACACACAGTACTCCATCCTGTCAAACTAGCATTTCTGTCTGAGCTTCATTAACTCTCTTCATTCTGAGGGTTTTAGGATCTGTTGCATCCACAGCCTGGCTTGTGATTGGTGGGTTCATCAAAAGACAGGGTGCTGTTACACCTTTCACTGAAGGGGCATGATGACATGCCGCTCTCTTCAGCTGCTTTATAGTGTGTTTTTATCATCCTTGACTCATCCATGCTGCACTTTATTACTGCAAAGAACATCTTTTAGACTACCGAGTTGTAAAGTCAGATTTACTAAAGGTAACAAGTAGGAAACAATATCTTGTTTCACATGTTTTCTCAAATCAGTTTTTGTCAAAAAATGCAGTCATTTATCTTTTTTTTTCCTGTTACATGTTGTCTTTTTAGATGCACAAAATATCTGGGGGGGAAAAACAACAATCACTATAGTGTGAAGCTAAGTAATGCACCAATAAATATTTTTTGTGTTGTTGTAGTCAGAGACTTTTTGAAGTTCTCATGAACTCTTGTAGCCCTATGATAGACTGGTGTCCTGTCCAGGGTGTCCACTGCCTTCGCCCTAAGTCAGCTGGGATAGGCCTTTGTGAGGATTAAGCGGTGTATAGATAGTGGATGGATGGATGAACTCTTGTACCTACTTGAATACAATTAATGCTACATGTATTTCTTGATCATCTGTCGTCATGTCCTGTCAGGCATGTTAATGCAGATATCAATGCACATGCTGATTAAAACATTCTTATTTTCTTAAGTAGTTCCACAAACAGAAGGAAAACATATTTGTTGGTGGCTGTTTTCAGCCGGGGATGAATACACATTTGGTGCTGTATTGAGTGTTTGTGGCAGCAGGGCAGTGTGTGTGGGATAGAGTCACAATAAGCAGCACTGTGGGGGTTCGTAGTAATAGCATGAACACATTATCCAGTGCAACAGTGAGGCCTAATAAACACACATCCCAGATGTGTGTTTATTAGGATGATGGCACTCTCTGCGATATGACATATAATGATATATCAGACTGGATTTAGTCAACATACGTACTATCGGACACATTAATTGTTGGTGTGGACATGAAATATTTGAAATATGAAAAATGTAAATATTTCCTGTAGTGGGAATTAAAAGGCCCTATCTCACCTGATTGGTAAAAAAAAAAAAAAAAAACAATTTGAAGAATTAAGCTTTGGATGGCTGGCTGACTATTTTGTAAGACATCCATCCATTCATCCATTCATTCATTATCAATACACCGCTTAATCCTCACTAGGGTCATGGGGGGCTGGAGTCTATCCCAGCTGACTCAGGGTGAAGGCAGGGGACACCCTGGACAGGTCACCAGTCTATCACAAGGCTACACATAGAGACAGACAGACAACCAAGCACACTCACATTCACACCTACGAACAATTTAGAATCACCAATTAACCTCAGTATTTTTTGGACTGTGGGAGGAAGCCGGAGAACCCGGAGAGAACCCACACTGCATGGGGAGAACACGCAAACTCCACGCAGAAAGATCCCGGGTGTCCTCACTGGGACGCGAACCGGCGACCTTCTAGCTGTGAGGCACCTAACCACCGAGCCGCCTTGCAGCCCTTCTTTTTAAGACAGAATTTATTTATTTTTAATTTTTAATTTTGTTCTTACAGTGAACGTTATGTAGATCTAATTCAAGTTGCATTTTTGCATTTTGGTTTTTACCCTGCAGTGGTCAGTCTATTCATTGTGTGTTCAGTGGTTAAATAATAATGCTAACATATGGAGGGGTGGCTACTATGACTCTATTAACATCACACTCCTTTACACACATGTAGTTAGAAGCAGACCAAAGCATGCCATGCCTGGCTGCCTCTCTTCCCTGCAAGCTGTAATACAATAGGCCAGTCAGCCCTCCGCCCCTCCACTCCCCCACTGTTAGCTACAAAGCATTGGCATGCTCATTCAGTTCCCTCTAATTGCTGCAGCGTGGCCACTAATGAGCAACACCCACACCTCCCTGTGCCACCACCTCCCCCTCACACACTTGTTTTTCTCTCTGAGTTTTATACCACCACTCAACCTGTCTTTGTCTCTGTTTTTTGTTTTGTCTTGTTTTGAATGTGTCCTCTGCTTTCTAAACCCGTTTTACACATGGGATACTTAACATTGCTGGCTTCATCAGCCAGGTACATTCTTTCATTTGGACATTGATCGCTTCATGTTCATGTTTCATACAGCTTTATTCAGACCGTGATGAAAGGAGCCATTGTACGCACACAATATTTGTCATACACATGAAATTGGATAGCAAATCAAGTGACCTATAATGTATACGTCGGCCTCTATGTGTAACAACATCCTACATCAGTTCATTATAAACTTGTGCGTATATTTCTGTTAATGTACCTGCATTCAGATCAGACAGGCTGAAATGTTGAAAGTGATACAAAAATATTTTATTAGACACAATTTAGAGTCACTTCTCTCAAAAACTTTTACGGAAAAGTAAAAATAGTTATTTATACATGAAGCTGACATAATCAGATTAATAAAAAGGCACATATGTCTGAAAAGGGTTTCAGAGGGAAGTGTTCTCACCATGGACACAAACTGCATCATACACTAACTTTATCTAACCTCTTATAGAGAAATATGCCAGATCAACCAGATAAACCTGACATTATGGTGACACATCGAAAGGCAACAAATACAGTGCTGAAACGCATCTCAGGGAATTCTAACATTACAAACGTAATTTCGTCTATTCACCAGGTTACATACTTAACTGATGTCTGATAAGGCAAGAATGACAGAAGGGTTAGAGACAAACCCAGTAGCTGGCAAAATGTAGCCAGTAGACAAAAGTAGAGGTTATGGTAAAATCTTTACCTGTGCTCTCCTTTTTAAACATGAATTGCAGCCTCCTGTTTTGCTTCAAAGTCGACTTCTACTTGCCATAGTTATGCACACACAGTTTCTCTGTCGCCTAATAATCACGCTGAATTGCCATTTTATTGAGCTTAATATTTATTTCAGAGTTGGTCTCATCAAAATTCTACAATTTCATTTAGCAGACACTTTTATCCAAGGCGACGTACATCTGAGAGCAGATACAACACAAGCAAAGATCTAGTCAGGAGAAAACAATCTAGATAAGTGCCACAGAGCAAGTTCAAGTGTGACAGGGCGTTGATGCCAATAGTAGACGGTGTGGGAGGTGATAAGATTTTTTTTTTTTTAGTCTGTCAAGTGTAAAGGTCTTCAGTGAAGAGCTGGGTCTTTAGTCTTTTCTTAAAGACTGAGAGGGAGTCAACAGATTGAACAGAGTTTGGTAACTCGTTCCACCACCGAGGAACCATCGAGGAGAAGAGTCCAGCTATCGACCTTGGGCCCTGTTGTGGTGGTTGTATCAAGCGTGTTTGTTGGTCGAGCGTAGTGAGCAGGAGGGAGTGTAGATCTGAATGACAGAGTTCAGGCAGGAGGGAGCTGTTCTCATTGTCGTTTTGTAAGCAAGTGTCAGGGTTTCGAATTTGATGTGGGCAGCAACTGGATGTTCAAATTCAACTTGCAGCAGTTTGTTAAACTGCTTCAGTCTTATCAACACAATTCTTGATACTACTTCAGATTGTTTTTCAGCATTAGACCGTGTGAATCACCAAAAATAACTAGACATAGGCTGCGACCTTAAGGTCTTTACATTACAACATTAACTTTCTCTTGAAACTTGGTGATATTGCAAACAATGGTGCACTCATTTTCAGGTTCACCTCCAAATACAGTAGTTTAGAAAACCTGGATAAACTTAACTAAGTTAACTAATGTAATTTAAGGGTGCAGATATTCCTAAACTCAACAAGCTGAGATTCTCACCTCCTTGTTTTAATGAGTTGACAGGAAGGGACACTGTAGAATTAAAACATTGCTGCAACTGTTAATTAAATTTACAGTTGGTTTGGTAATTACCTTTGATAGGGATGAGTTACTTTTTAAAGATACCATATTATGCCCCATTTTAAAAAGTTACTGATGACTATTGTCATATGACCTTAGAATGTCCGTTTCACATTCCAGCTTAAAGTACTGCACAGATTGTTCAGTTCAATTCAATTCAATTTACAGCATATGTCATCACACAGCGCTTCACACAGTAAGGTGTAAACCTTACCAACTTAAACAGAGAACCCAACAATCCAAAGTAGCCTTTGGACTCCATCTGAGCAAGCGGTTGGCAACAGTGGGAAAGAACCAAACCCCCCTCAAGGGAGGAGGAAAAAACACCTCCGGCAGAACCAGGCTCAGGGAAGGCAGCCATCTGCCTCGACTGGTTGAGTGAGAGTGGGGATGAGGGGTGGAGAAAACAGGATAGCAGATGGAGAGCAAACAATAGAATGGAACAATAAATATGAATTTAAGTATTTTGGGGGTTGGTGAGGCCAGCAGCTGCAGGTCAGGGACATAAAGCTCCAGATCCAGAGATGTCCACAGAGAGAACAAGCACAGGACCTCAGGAAACACTAGTGATATGTAATGGTGGTTATAACTGTATGGAAGAGAGGAGAGGAGAGGAGAGGAGAGGAGCTGTCTGGCTGTTAGGATGGTATGACATGCTTGTAACACCACTGGTTTCTTCCTGACATATGTATATGTTTGTTTGTTTGTTTTAAATTATTTGTCTTTCTTTCTTTCTTTCTTTCTTTATTTTTGCATAATATGGCCCCTTTAAGTTTGTGAAAAGAAAACATTGTGGCCTTGTGGTGTAAGGCCATGAAATTGTAATGCCCCCAGTTCCACAGTCCAGCTGAGGAGGTATCTCCTTGTCTATATAACAATTATGGCGTACATGTCTAAAAATATACCTTGAAAAAAAGTGAATTATGAAATGCAATGAGGATTAGTTTCTGAGTCCAAAGTGACATCCTCATATAACTTTTTGTCCACAAGCACTACGAGGTCTAATGTCAACTAATTCTCAGTCCCATAAAATATAGAAAAAGTTGCATATAATCACATTGAAAGATGTGAAACCACATTCTGTTTTCCATATTTGCACAATAATGACTTACATGATTACCTGATTTTCAAAACTGCTGTTAACTGATATGTCTGTGTAGATTTCACAGGTCCAGGTCAATATAATTCTTAGTTTAGTTCTTAGGATGGATGAGAGATGAACATTTCAAAAACCTAAAGAGCAGTCTAGTTGCTTTTTTTATTGTAACTCCTAAGCTTTTAATTAACCTATTACTTCAGCAATGCATCTATTGATTAATCTTCACAATGACAAAAAAAAAAGCAAAGAAAATAAGAGTTTTATCTAAAATACAACCCAACCAGGTGAAATTGCAGACGATGCATTTAGGGCATTAAAAGAAACTGGCGAGCTCGAATTGCAAACCAGTTCATAAGTGTGTTTTTCCTTTCTTTTTCAAAAATAGGTCATTTTTTAAAAATGAGCATTGCAATAGCTCTCTATACATGTATATACATCCCACCCCTTTTGTTTGTCGAGCTTCATTCTTTGTATACTCTTTCTGCAATCACTGTCTCTGGTTACTTTCTTCCTCTTGTTTCTCTGTAAGTCTAAGGAAGTGTGGACTTTAGGTCATGATGCCTGCTTAAAGAGCTACAGTCTTTCTCTCCAGCACATCCATATGCAGTCACAATGGTCTCTTCAAGATAAATTGTTTCGCGATTATTCCTCTCCCCATCCCTCTCCCTCACCCGAGCCCCAACCCTGCTCAGGTCTTTTTCAGGTTCTTGCTTTTGAAACACTCGCTTTGGTCAGTGATGGATGGAGCCTTAACAGTTCAGGCCGGGGGGAGGCTGTGACAAATGCCTCCGGCACAGCCTGTTGATGGGACTACATTAGCCAAAGTTGAACTGGAGTAAATTAGATGAGAGGAGCCATGCGTGTCCATGCATCTCTCTGCATAGCAACCACAAACAAAGCTGAACACACAGCTTTAGCTAAAAGAGGAGATTGATAGACCACCATTATCAGTTTACCTACCCAGTAGCACAGTGCATTTTACTCTTTTTTTGTCTATCATTTAGCATTCTGAGAAATTTGTGCCAACCAATTTTAAAAAATCTAAATGCTATCCACACCACTGGTCGTTTTTTTTTTTTTGCAGAAGTGCAGGACGTTTTGATCATCAGGTCTGGTGAGAATTGTCTATGTGGAGTGGGGAACAGCCAGGTTTCTCAGCAGAGGGGAAAAAATCAAGGAGAAAGGAGCTACATGCAGCTGTTAGAGTGCAGATGCTTGGATTTAAACAGTCTTATCTCAGCATGCTTTACACTTCTTGTTTTACTTTTGATCTCTTTCAGGATGCGGAGGAGTATGCTGAGCTGCCTGTCAGACACAATGAGGACCAGCTGAACAGCCAGCTGGCTCAGCAGCTCCCCCTGCAGGTCAACCCCCACTCCTACGACAGCGCCCACACCAAGACCCACCTGCTGCTGCAGGCCCACTTCTGCCACGCCCAGCTACCGTGCAGCGACTACACCACGGATACCAAGACCGTTCTGGACAACGCCATCCGAGTCTGTCAGGTAGGATTCAGTGGGCAACTGATACACAGCTTTAGAAATCTTTTAATGAGTTAATCGATTCATTAATCTATGAGTTATCACTTTACTAAAACATTAAAGTAAGCAATAGTAATTTAGTCTTTAAGAATATTAGTCCAGACACGAAGAATCACAAATGACTTTTGCAAGGTATATTATTACTGTGATGCAACGCAATGACCTTTTTCCACTGGCCCTCAAAAGCACACTGTAGCCATGCCATGGAGCACCATGCACATTTTCATACATTCTCCCCAAAGGAGATAACTGTGCTTACTTTCACTCTGGCTGCAAGCAGCACATAAACATGCTTTCCACACTCAACTAAGCTGTGGCCTGGCACTAAACTTACTAGGTCATCATATGAGCACAACTGGTCTAAAGGAAAAATATGCAACATCTTTAAGCACACCAGTGTGACTGAGTTTGTGTTTGAATTTTCAGGTTCGCAAAATACCTTAATCCCCCAATGTACAAAAGACTGAAATAAGCTTCAGATAGTGACAGGGTCAACCATCACTTTTGGCAGTGAAAATGCCAAACGTTTCCAATGGCAGATTATTTCAGATAGAATAGAGTAGAAGAATAGAATACTTTTTTTTATTGATCCCCTATTGGGAGAAAATTACAGCATCCAAAAATATAGAAAGTACAAGAAAATAACAATAATTAAGTAGTATGCATACCGGTGTCCGCACACAGCAGGTCCAATTCCCCACCGTCTCCGGTTGGGCAGTCCACATACTGGCTGAATGTAGGGAGAGTGGTAGAGAACGATGTATGATTAAAGACTCCTGAGATGACGATCAGAGACTGAGGGTGTGATGTTTGCAGCTGGGACACTGAACTATGGCTTGGCCTGGCTCAGCGCCAACAGCTGTTCATGAGTGTAAAGACAATGGAGCCATGGCTCAACGGCTCGCCAGACGCGGACCCCAAAAACTCACAAAAAAAGCAAAGAACAGACCAACAAAAACGGCATCTGCATCTCCACTGTTGATGTGATGTGATGTGGCACAGCTGTGTGAAATTAAAATATTAAAAAGATTCAAGAAAAATCAAAGTAAATAGCTAAAAACACAGAAAGTAGGAAGGAGCCGCTGCAACTGGCTGCCACTCGCATGGTGCCATAGCAACAACAACAACAAAAAAAAGATGTCACGAATGTAATTTAATTCCATTAGAGACTGAATATAGGCAGGAAAGGTTTTACTACGCAGAATGATTCAAAAAACGACGTCCCTGCTGATAAAAGCAGGAATCAACAATCAGCAGGTTCTCACAGTGATGCATTCTTATTCAGTGAGTCATTTGATACCAATGTGATGGTAAATGCTTACAGAGGAATACATAAGTAAGTGCTGCACATGGAAAGAGAGCACATTTTGTAAAGCTGGACTGGAGTTGAAGCTGAGAACAAGGGTTAAGCGTTAGTAGACGATTTTTAGTTGAATAGTTCCGACTCATAAATATTATGATGCTCCAGGATTTTATCTGCCAAGTGGGATTGTCATTGTCTGGCAGATACAATGTCTCTGCTGCTCAGTGTTCATATGGAAAGAAACCAACAAGGTGGTGAACAACCTTGTACGTTTATAGATCAGATGTTCCATGATAGTTATTTAACCTGTGTGATGTGCTCGATGGTGTTTATTTAGTTTCTTCATAGTACTGTTTGAAGTTAGGACCATGTCTGAACGTCTGTAAGCCATTGTCCACAGCTCTGGATGGGTGATTGTGTGTGTGAATGTGTACATGTGCTTGTGATTTTCCATGCCGTGTATCTGGCAGTGATATTGCATGGCTCATGGATGTGGTTACTTCTTTGGTGTCCTTCTGCTACCGTTTACTGAAATGGTTCTGGTCTTCAGTTGCTTTATGGTTGTTTTTATTGAACAATTGTATATTTTTATTGATACTTACAAAATACATAAAGTGAATGCAAGCATCTGACAAATAACGCTACATTTCTTTTTGCAGGTTATGACGCTTGCAACATTTTACCCATCCTCAAATGGACACTCCTCATATAATTCAGGTCACAAAACATGCTGTCAAGTTGAGTCTGAAAATAGAAAACAGATTACAGGAAGAACTGCATAAACATGTGGCTGAAGAATCTACATGATGCTGTTAAATCACCCATTAGCCATACCTGCTAATTCTTCAGGGTTTGTAGGGGGCTGGAGCTTTTTCCAGGGGTGAGGGGTGGGGTACGTCTTTGTCAGTCACAAGACTGATGCATAGAGACAGAACTATCGTACATACATTCACATGCCCCCCGCTGTTAACATCACAACACACCACAACTAGTGGTGGGTAATATGGGCCATTCTATATGTAATTTCATATCAGAATATTGATAGTGCTGTTATATACAGTATTGTATAAAGTTTAGGATAAATGTTTCCATTCTGAGGCATCTCAGAACTTCGCATGAAGTTCCACCAGCTAACAAGCAGTCATGGTCACCCTCTTCACATTCTTTATCAAAGTCCTCAAAAGAAATTCTCATGTTATAATTTTGGAGCAGCCTTTTAAAGTTGATGGCGCTAGGTGCTAGACACAGACATGAGACCCTATCCAATTAAAGGGGACCTTGCTCAGTCCATCCATCCATCCATCCATTATCTATACACCGCTTAATCCTCACTCGCCATGGGGGGGCTGGAGTCTGTCCCAGCTGACTCAGGGTGAAGGCAGGGGACACCCTGGACAGGTCACCAGTCTATCACAGGGCTACACTTAAGAGACAGACAGCCGAGCACACTCACATTCACACCTACGGACAATTTAGAATCACCAATCAACCTCAACATGTTTTTGGACTGTGTGGGAGGAAGCTGGAGAACCCGGAGAGAACCCACACTGCACAGAGAGAACATGCAAACTCCACACAGAAAGATCCCGGGTGTCCTCACCAGGACATGAACCGGGGACCTGAATCAAACCACCTCTTAACACCCTAAATATGACGCCACTGCTATAGAAACCATCAGTATTGTCCAGAAAGGCAGCATAACAGGACGTTGCATCGCAGACAGGTAGTTCATGTAGCGACAATGAATGCCATTACTAAAGCAAGAAACCCAGTTAAAACAATTCAACAAGTCTCCTTTCACTGCAGCCACAGCTGCAACATATACATCACATCAGGGTTCTCACCACGCTATTTCCCTGAAACAATACGTTGTGTCTTGCCCTGCTATGCTGTCTTTCAAGACGCATGTTTGGAAAATTTGACATATTTTCCAGTAAAACTAATTTTCCTAAGAAACTCTACTGTCGTCTTTGCTGCTAATGAGGGGCAGTGTCGCTGAGAGCCCCCCCGCTGTGCTGTCAAAAAGTTCTGGTGCGACCCCTGCACATCTGACAGGAGCATCAATATCAGCCCAAAAAAATGACAAAAATATATATTTTACTCACCAAAATATAGAATATTTGAACACAAACTTCATCCTCCTTTCTCTCGTCCCGAGGAGTTCAGTGACTCTGTTGAGCAGGTAATCTGTGTGTTTCACTTCCAATAATAAGTCCTTGTTTTATCTCCATGGAGGCTAATGCTGAAAGTCGGGTCTGTCCAGTTGTGTTTCTGGCATAAGTTTTAATTTGCTGTAGGGCTGAGAATGTATGCTCACTTAACTTAAAAAATAAAATAAAATAAAATAAAAAAACGGAATACTTGTGCAGGTCGATACAGACAGGAACCGCTAGCTTTGGCTAGGCACTCTGACCATCCAATCAGATGATGTGAAAATGCTGATGTTATCGTAGGCCAGCTAGCTGGCCCTGGAACCACCAGCTCTAAATCTGATTGATTGAAACAGTTTCACTGAAATGCATTTTACGCTACAGGGGCCTGCACTTTTGATTGTGAAGGCCTCAGGGCAGATTTCTGTGATCCTGACAACATGGCTCTAATATAAACATATGCTGTTGGAAGCACCACAGCCCAGATACACGCTATGAAATGAAAGGGAATAGACTATTGGGAATAAAGTTAAAAGATTAATGGTAAAATATTACAACGTAATTCAGTGATTCTGATCGAGTTTAGGCCAGCAGAGAAGGCCTTGCTGGCCCTGACGGCACACCACTGGTTAAAGCCCTGTTTGGCTGATTTAGGTCGAGATGGTATAGACATCATTATTAGTGTTATAGGAAAAACTTAAGTTTTTCATTTTCTTCTATTTCTTCTCCTCAGGCAATGCTGGATTTAGCTGCCAATGAAGGCTGGCTTGTTACGGCCATCAGTATCTGCAACCTGGTGCAGATGATCGTACAGGGCCGCTGGCTGCACGACTCCTCATTACTAACACTACCACATGTAGAACAACAAGACCTCTATCTGTTCAGGTAAACACCATTGCTGCTCGACAGGTGCAATTTTAATGCCCATGCAGTCATTTGTAGCTGTAACTCTAGTGGGTAGCTAAGCTACCTCATGTTCTCCCTACTGTGCTTAGAGTCAGAGAGGATTACATCTCTTCATGGGTCTGTATTGCACCAATAGCTTCTTCGCATGTCACATGTTCCGTGCATGCTACTAATGGATATCCAAGTCTGCATTCCTACAATGTTGAATAGCTTTGTGCAAACTTGAAAAGAAAATTGTGAGAGAATTGAAAAAGGAAGAGCCACAGGTACAAGACAGCAGGGAGCAAACAGTAGAATTTGTTGGGATATTGCCTCATAACCAAGAATCTCTCCATTTCTTTTTTTGCAATCGCTCTACAGGAAATGGTCCAACAAAAAGGGGAGGAGTGACATGGGAGGCTTCAACGGGCCGATCGAAGGGCTTCCTGAACTGATTGCTGCCTGCAATGGAAAAGAAAGTGTTTTTGCTGCTATGGTTGGCCACGAGTTTCAATCAAATCAGATTGCCCAGGTAAGGACACAGATGTTATTGTACAAAAGCACATTGGAAATACAAGTATTCATCGAAGTCAGTAAATATTGATTTGCTACAGAAATATTGGAAACAACCAGAAAATAGATTACAAACAGGTGAGTTGTGTGGCTTTTACAAAAAGGGTTTCCAAAATGGGTTTGATCCCACATTTAGTGCATGCAGACACACATGCATACACTATCTTGCGCGCACACACACTCAAACACCCTCACACACACAGGGACACACATACACACCACATTAGTGACGCGCCATGAGCAGTCTTGCCACTGTGGTCCCAGATACCGCCAGGATCCACAATTACAGCTCCACAGACAGGCTTTACAGCTCCAATTTAAGTGCTAATTGCAGCAGTAATGAGAGTGTCCGGGCACGACGACAGACCCTATGGCTTCACCCAATCAGTGTCTCTGCTTTCCCCCTTCCCCACCTTTGCTCCCCCACTGCCACCACCCGCCCCACAGTGTGACGGTCTCTCTAATTAAATAATTAGATGTGCAGCAGCGTTCCTGTCTGACTTGCTCAGGGAGAGTAATCCTCACATAAATAGCTTTTGCTGGGTGAAATCGAGGGGCTTTTTTCCTCCCTGCCCTTAATACACTGTCACAAAAACGCATGCGTGCGCACACACGTACACACACTTACACACACACGCACACACACATACACATACACACATGTCCACACATTCTCTTTCACTAGAATTATTTTCTGTCACTCTCACTACCTTCATCTTTTTCTGTCTTGTGTTCTCCTCTTGGTGGGTTTTTGGGCTGAACCCAGTGTTTAACTCTCTATAAAACACTTACAGGGCACCTAAGAGTTTGAACAACATCTGTTAGAATGAATCAAGCCCTAATTGAACAGCAGACCTACTCTTTAGTGGCTGACAATCTGTCCATCTAACACTGACCCTCTTTGTTATCTCTAAATTTTGCATTTGCTTTGTGAACATCACTTTTATATCATATGAGAACATTGGAACCAACGGGGTGGCATCCCATTTCTACAGCTTAGAGATATTCAAGTGCAATGGGAAATTGAAAGTTTTGATTTTGGATTGTTGTGGTTGGGTCTTCAAATTCTGTCAACCACTGAAACAATTTACTGCCTTTTTTTTTTTTTAAAATACAAATTGCACAACAGTTCAACAGTATCACGTTGGGATTCTTACCCAGACTGTATTAATTCTATAACAAGTAGACAGTCATGACATAAGACAAAACAATACTGAATGGTAGTGCTACATTCCTGCCCTGCTCCCCCAGACAGCAACACACCAAAAGCAGGTACCTTCAGTAGAAAATTCGATGCCCCAGAATAGTAACAACTTTTAGTCCCATGCAAGACAAAAAATATTTTATGGGAGTAAAAAAGAAAAACAGATTGAAACCATACTTTAAAAAGAAAATGTAGCCTTGGTGCAGGTTCTCATATTGATGCGAAGTGAGCTGGTTTTATCATAACTGTAGTGTAATGTATGAGCTCAGACGTGTTGATCCTAGGCTGATCTTCTGAGTTGCCCTGTCTTGGAGTTGCCATGATGCCTTCTTCCCTAACCTCTTTGGTTTAGTTCAACTAAAATCTGCATTTACGCGTTTAGTTTGTTGAGTTTGAAGACAGATAAACAACCAGAGCTTGAAACGGTGTGCCTCAGTCCAGTTCCAAACCAAGTCTGCAATGCATTGATGTTGTGAAACAAAGCAGACCAACCACAGCATTCTCTTATGGTAGATACAAGATGATTTTAGCATGAACTCAAAGAATTTTATACGAATACATAAATCTGCTGGTCTGGGGAAGTGATTAGGAATATATAAATAGTCTTTGTTTTTCTGCAAAATGACTTGGTGAGCATATCAGTATATTTCTCAGTCAGCAGACTATACTCACAGCCAATTCCGCGGGTTCCTTATTCCCTCCTGATCCCTTATCATGCTTTTGTCACCATGTTCTTCCTCCTTTAAAGGCGTGGACCTTCCTGAGTCACCTCCCAGTGCTGCAGGTTGACATGAGTGTGAAGGGCTGGTGGGAGGAGAGCCAGGAGCAGACGGAGCGTCCCCTCCAAGCAGCTGGACTTAACTTGAGGGAGGAGAGCAGCTGGCTGGATGTCCACGCTGACCAGGAGTACGTTCTGCAGGTGTCACTGAGACGCATCAATCAGGTCCAGCAGAGGGTAAGTCTGCTAGATACACAGTACACTTGGTGTCACAGACTGTACTCCACTGTTTTATCAGGAATCTCATCAACCTCGTTTCCAGCAGCAGAAAACAGTTTTCAGTCTAAAAGCTCACAGTTAAACACTAGCTGGTGAGGACTGTGGAGTATTTAGCAGCTGATTTTTTAGGAGAATTGATAGAGACCAAACCAGAGCTCAAAGTACCATAAATTCATCAGGTAATACTGGTACTCTGAATGAATTCTGATTTGACATTTACTGAATCCTCATTCTGATGCATTCAAGCTAGAACTCAAATTAAGATGGGTAATGGTTTATAAAATGCTGTTCAGTCCTACCTCACATGAACTCACATGTGCCACAGACAGGTACAACTGTAGCACGAGCAGTACTTAGCTACAAAACAGAGACAGGGTGTTTTTAGATTCTGTCTTGTGTGCAATATTTTTTATCTTGCAGTTTTTAATTGCTGCTTTTAAATACACTTGTTGTAACTTTTTAAATAATAAGTATATTGTTATTATTATTTTATTACATTGTATTATATATTGGTATCAGTTTTGGTTGTATTCGTAGTTTTGTTAGTGTTGTTATTATATTTTAATTTTATATGTTTTCTATTTTTATTATTTAAATTTAATTTATATTTACAATTCTTCATATTTTCTTTATTTTCTAATTGTCTGTACATAACCTGCTGGTGACATCTTGACACTTACACTGCTACTGGCAGCAGGCCTGCCACTGCACATAATCTGCTGCCTTCTTAAATGCCCTGCTCTTTGCCCACCCAGTTGCCCCTCAGGGATAAATAAAGTTTTTTCTGATTCTGATTCTGATTCTGACATGTTTGGCCTAACAGTGGCATCAGACAAGGTTCAGTTTCATTAGTCTAAGCTCTGTTTTATAAGTTGGACATAAATGCATATCTAACAAGCAAAGTAATTCAATATACCTCTGAATGTTTGGTCTGTTTAATGTTTAATGTTGATCATCTATTAGGACTGCAGTAGAACTGTACAGTGCCTATCAAATTATAATGACAGGAATCAACCAAGTTTGCCCTATCTAAGATCATATTCAGACATTTCTGCTAAGATTTGAAATCAAATAACCCTGTAGAACAGTGGGACTAAAACAGTGTGTTTGTTATTTCAGAGGAAACAGGACAGCAAGGCCCAGGCTCCCAGGTTCCCCAAGGTGAAGGACGAGGGTTGGTTCCTCATCCTGGGAGAGGTGGACCGAAGGGAGCTGCTGGCGGTCAAACGAGTGGGATACGTGCGCAACCACACAGTTGTGTCTGTGGCCTTCTATACACCAGAAAGGACTGGAAAGTAAGCTGCTGTGCAGGACAAAACATTTCAAACCATACAGAAACACTTGTTATACAACTGACAATAAACACACCTGTAAGCTACTTTAATCAGGCGGTGAGACCGACACACAAAGTGAACTACATCATTAACCTGATAGCCACATTAGATTTGTGATAGAAAAATGACTGTCACATTGTTTTAGTTAAATATTCCCATTTATTTAACAGTTTATACCAGGCTTCAGATTGTGACATGGTCCCTACTCGTTATAGAATAAACCAAACATTGTTGAGTTTGAGGAAGTAATATTTTTTGAGGACTATTTTTAGAGACAGATCAATCCATGTCCGGTGCAACAGTGTGAATCACTGATGGTTTTAGAAGTTGTTGAACAATGGAGTCCTGTGGCACAGAGGGATACCATTCATCTGGATTACATATAAACACACACTTGTATTGTGAATTTATTTTTTTTATTTGAAAAGCACTTTGACTCAGTGTCTGTTGTTTTAAATGTGCTCCACAGTGGCTTGATCTAATACACAATCCTTGTTAGGACAATTTCCTTGTTGATTATCCTCTGTGCAGAGGATGAGTTGTCAATAAGAACAACTCAGTATTAGACCAGACTGTAACCAAACTGAAAGACAGAGCATTACATACTGTATGACTCTTGGAAAGCTAAAAAAAAAATCACATCCAAGTTTTTGTAAGTGGTGGAAATGGGTAGATTACTGTGTTTAATGTGCAGTATGGCACAATGGGAAGATTAACAGCTACCTTGGGGGTATGAAAAATGAAATGAATGAATGAATGAATGAAAAATACTTTATTTATCCCAGAAGGGAAATTCAATAAATTAAAAGAAAAATGAAGAAAAAAAAATTCAAAAACATGAGGAGCTTGAGACTGATCAAAAACAAACAGCTTGTAATCTCAACACACCACAAGTCTGAGTCTTTGTGAACACCAATGGCGTAATTTAGCTGCTACTCTCACTGCTGCTCTGTGTATCTTCTCCTTTCAGATGCATCTACACGCTGTACCTGATGAGTGACAGCTACCTGGGCCTGGACCAGCAGTACGACATCCATCTAAACGTAACACCTGCCAGCATTGCTTCCCAGGTCAACACTGAGGTGTCGGACTCAGGGACTAAAATGTCCCGCCGCTAAGGAACAGTGACTGAGAACCCCACGTCATCTCATCATGTTTGTTGTCACTGAGCTGTGATGTTTATGCTGGAATTTACTATTTTGTTCTACCAACTTCATATCAGCTCGTCATGTCTACTTGTTCTTCAGTTATTGCTTTCCTAACTGCGGAAGTGCTTCCACTTCTTGCACAGTTTGTGTCACTTCATTGCATTTTGCTCTGCCATGGCTGCTGTCAAAGAAAGGTACATTTGTGCCCTATTTCCTTACAATTTCTCTGATTGTTTAATATAAGTTGGGAGTCCAGGATGTCGACAGATCTGTTGTGATTCTTTCAATGTGAAAAAAATGTTTTATTTCACTTATTTTGTGTTTTTATTGATTTATCCGGATTTAACACTGAATCACATCAAGTAACAAGCTGCTGCTGCATGGCTCTCTATGACCTAGAACTTGTTTGTTGTACTTCTGGCCACAGCGCAGTCACTGATGTCACAGTAGATATTTAATTTTTGTTAAGGAATGCAAAATTCCTGCTGGAGCAACTGCTGGACAATAGTTCTTTACCATTTCAGATGGTGTAGTCTTCTTCTTCAAGGTTTGTTTTCTGAGATGAAATACAATATAACAGGGCAACAAGACTATTCTGTTCCACATGTTCCATGAAATAAAGCTTTCTTTCGCTTGAATTTGGAGGAGAGGACCAGTTTTTATTATCTGAAAATCCTAAAGGCCCCAACCACTTCTAAAGGTCAGTGTGTTGTTTTGAGAGAACTGAGAACATCGATGAGCCACATCCATTTAAGAGGGCAGACCTAAAATGAGACAGAGCTAATTCACTTTTATTTTGTATGTCCCTGTACTTTGCCTGGGAAAGCAAAGGAGCCAAGCTTGTAATAAAAATGTATTGTTTTTGTTAATAGAAATTCATAAGTTGGCAGGAAAATCAATACAAGTTTACCATATGTACTAAGTGCATTTTAAAATAACACATTTCTTTTGCTCTTGCCATTAAATACTTAGCTTGTCAAGTATTGCAATGTGGCCACATGTTCAAATGGACAGAGAATAATACAGCAGTGTTTACAGTGTGTGCTTTGTGTGGCTCAGTATGTTGTTCACCGTGAATGTATGAATGGATTCAGATGTAGTGTACAAAGTAGCAGGGGTTGTTTTTTATTTACTTATGAAGATGCGTTACCAGAAACAGGAATAAAACACATTTCCACATTTGTGAACTAAGCCAACACATAACAGTCACTGTGGCCTTATGGGAAAGTATGAAAGGGTGAACGTACATAAGACAGAAAGCAGTTAATGGCTAAGCGTTGTATAATTTGGTTAAGAAAGTGCAAAGTGCTGCAAGGAGCACAGTTAAAATATGAGAAAATGCCTTGTGTGTGTATTGTTTTCTTAAATCAGACATTAGTTTAAAAATGCCTAATTGACACATTGATGCAGATAAAATCAACAGAGAGAGAAATTGGCTTCATTGTGTCAAACACTGAAAAGATTTAATCTCCAGGAGTGGATTCCTGTGCAGGTGTGTAAAACAAGCTTCCTCCTGTCACAAGGGCTTTGGTCAGGATTGCCCAACTATCACATATGTTTCATCCAGTAAATCTCGTCCTCCACAGAAATCTTTTTCCATCCTCAGCTGAAAGCCTCTGATCACATGCAACAGTCAAGAAATGTGACAAAACAAATTCCAGACAGCAAAAACCCAACTTGCAAATTTGGAATGAGTTTAAGATTATGGGAACAGAAATGTCGAGGGGTTGAAATTTTGTAATATGTCTATTGCTGCCAAAACCAGCTCTGTTGATTCTGAGGAGCAGGTGTCATGTACAGATGCTTTTTATAGATTTTTCTCTGAAACCTTATCAACCTTATCAAAAGACATAGGTGTAAAAAGCTTGCTGATAGTTGATATAACCACGTATTACCAGCCGGGTGTGCTGGCCTGTCCTGCTGTACCAGTCAACGAATGAGGTGCCACAGTTGTTCCATTGAGTTAATGTGGAGGACAGAGACAGCAGCAAGATTTGTTCAGTTACATGAGATCAAAAAATGGTAACAATCCCAACAGACTACCAATAAAATGGGGAGGTCAAGGCATCTTGTGAAAAACCCAACCAGTTGGAGAGCTGTCTCAGGTCTCCTGCATGACAATAGTTAAAGGACCTAATTGCACCCAGTCACAGAAATGGATAAGGATGTACAGCATAATGACATAGCACATTGTTCATTAGTAGTGCTGTAAAAGCTGCAACCCAGCAAGCCCACTTGTGAATGCAACAAAATGCTATTGAACTGTTTTGTTGTGTTGTTCTGTTGTTGGAGGAAAAGCAAATGTGAAGTGTATACAATTTGTCAGACACCGAAATGAGGGAGCAACTTTCCCTTCACACAGTGTATGTAAGAATTCACTGCAGTCCACCAAATGTACATTTTCTATCATCTCCCAAAGTCCAAGAGAGTCCATGTGGACCCCTGCACAGACATTCAGGTGCAGCCCACAATTTGCATTTATGTGAAAAAAGGCAATGGCTATGCCGCAAGGGCCATAGTGCTCATGCTCAACTGTAGTATGTATGAGAAGAATATATAGATATGACCTACTACACATGTATACAACAGTCCTCCCAGTGGACTCCAACTTAACCAAAACGGTTGTTGTTACGTTACATTTCTAATCAGTGGGACTCTGCTTGAAAGACTATGTTGCATAAATGTAAAGTAGGCTCTGTTTGTGGGTTCTGCATATGTGCATGATTGCCTTTGTACTGTAGTTGTGAAATTTACTTTGCACCAACCCTAGTGTTGCAGCAAGTGTTACCAATACGTCAGTGTGTCCCTTGCTGGCCTCGCCCGGCCAGTTTCAGCTCAGCTCACTGACTTTTCATTGTGATGACATTACAAAAATAAGACTCACTTTTCCAGGTGCTGTGGACGTTTTAAGAAGAACTCAATAGAAATAGTAAGTTTGCAGTTGAAGATGTCAGTTTTACAAATGTGACAGGTCACTCTTGTTTTTTTGTTTGTTTGTTTGTTTTTTTAAAGCAATACTGTGATTAATTACAACTGCTGTATCCAGCTCCATTTGTGCTTAGTACAATTTTCCAGTTTTTATTTCAGAATTGTTTTGTGATATTTAAAAGATTTCAGGTTCAACATATTTACATTTCTTCTCTGGATATTTGGAAGCACTTCACAGTATCCATCCACCACTGAGTGATGTAACAGCTGAAACTCATTATGAAAGTCTATAAGCTGAGAAGAGCTGCAGCTTCAGCTGATAATTCTCTGTAGGTTCACTACTGCATTGTCTCATTGCGTTCACAGTGTCATTTTATAAGCTGTGCTGAAGTGCCCCTGGACAAAACACTGAACCCCAAATTGATCCTGAGGGCCTTTGAGAACCTTGCATGTTGGATGGGGGTGAATGAGAACTGAATTGTTTTTGTAGGTTAAACGATACTATAAATGTGAACCGTCTGTCTTTTAAATGTTCATTATTCCAGATCTAAAACATGAAAGCACTTTATAATTCAAGCAGAAACAAACTGTAAATAGTATTGCGCTCATGCTCTCTTTCTATGTAATGCCTTATAACCACACTTAGACTGCAGGATGTTGCTGTTTGTAATACAATATTGTTTAGAAAGGGTTGAAACTTTGACCTGTTTTGACTGTTTAAAATGAAAATTATGAAAATGAAAAATATCCAGTGGCAGTGTTGGCACTCAGAACAAGCAGCGCACTCTGTACGTGGATAATACTTCCCAGAAAAGCTGAATCACTGTCCCACCATCAGCTCAAAATGATAACTAAGTTGGGTATAAGATGAAAAATCCAGCCAGATCAGCTGATCATAATAATTTAGAGGTTAATTTATCTGAGGAAGCGTTGTCACAATTTAAGGCAGATTCTGGTCATTTTAAATCAAATATGATCAACTTTTTTTTTTTTTTACTGTTTTAAGCTGAAGTTTTACTTTACAAAAAAAAACAAATATTCTATGTTAAGTAAAAAACATAATAAATTTAGAATTTGTCCTTTTTTTCAGTTGGTTGTCAAATATTTCTTCACTTCCTCCAAAAATCCAGTCTGGGTCCTTCATCTGAATGCATGATGTTCCTATTAGATTTGTTTCCATATGTAAGTGGGACCCAGTCGGATCTAAAAACACCTGATTGTTAACTCCATGTGCTCTCCTCACTGCTTAGTCATTGTTTAACAGGCAGCATTTGACATGATCAACCCCTGTCCCTCACCAACCCCCACACCATGCCAACCACTCTTTGCAGTTTTTACAGTTCTCTTATGCTGGACATACAACACATGAACGTGTTAAATTAGAAATATGTAGCATAGAAGGTTTTGAGAATGAAATCTCTCTCAAGTACCCTCTTCTAAACAGCGCTTCAGGATCAGACAGTAAAGCAGCGTTGATATTAAGTTTTTGTGTTGCAGCGAGCAGCACTTTCGCCTTACAGCTAGAAGGTTCTTGATTTGAATCTCGGTCTCTTTCTGTGTGGAGTTTTGTCCTCCCCATGTGATTAACAGGTGATTCTAAATTGGCATGGTTGTCTGTCTCTTTGGTCTGGCCATCTGTGTGCCCTGAGTCAGTGAGGATGTGCTCCAGCCTCCTGCTTCGCCCCCACCTGAGGATAAAGTGATTTAGATCCCAAACAAAATCCTCCTATTGTGTGAACTATACTTGGCAATAAATCTGATCCTGATTCTGAAATAAAAATTTCAGTTAAGTTTGCAAAAACCTGTTAGCACACATCAAGATGTCGGGCTCAGTGACTGAAGCCAGTTTACCTACTGGGAAAGCAGCTCGATGAGGTCCTGACACTAACTGCGGTTAAGATGCTGATGTTTGAGTTGATATTCTGATTATTCTCCAGTATGTTTGTTTTTAATTTGTGTGCCCAACAGTTGATTTTATTCTGGATTAATGAATCAATGCTGCATCAATGGACCTCTCAAGTCAGCAATATTACTCTATAAAACATGAATCAAACAGTACAAAATACACCATGACTGCCTGTTGTTCAATCAGTAGATCCAACTATTAACATTTCTTTCATGTAAAAGTTGTAGAAGTTGACCCCCCCAAACAAATTTTTCTTGTTTGTTTTGTTTTTGTAAGTATATCAGACGTTTGTTTTTATGGCTTAAACAGCTAATCATGGCAGATGCGATCTAAACACATGACGGCATACAGCCAGCACACTGTTGGTTGGAAAAATGGTAAAGTGAAAATACGCACAGGCTTTATTTTAGCCTTGATGCTCGTCAGCAGTTTGAGACCCCTGTAGGCTACATGCACAGCTTCCAGTCTAGACATTACAGTAACAACAGGAGATCAATATATCTAAACACTCCAGTTAGCCTATTTAGTAAAAGAATAAATCCACACGTGATTCCTCAGCTGTTGTTTGATGGTTTCTGACAACTGTGGAGTATTTTCATTAAAATCATTTCAACCCCAAAGTTACAGTGTCGGTTTTGAAAAGCACAAAGACACAGTGAGATGTCCCATTTATTTTGAACCATGTCTTAAAATGTGCTTCCTTTGTTATATTTTTTATAAAACACAGCAAAAAGCAGCGACGCCTTGATCTCTTCCAGAACAAGCAGCTGCTGATACAGGATGCACCTCTCCGTCCTCACTCAGCGGACATTCAGCAGGGATCCGTTTCTCAAAGCAGCTTTAGTGATAACTCGGAGTCTGCTAACCCTGAAATGAGGGAAACTCTCCTTCAGATTTCACTCAATCTGGATTGTGAAACGGACCCAAGGACTATTTTCGGTCTTCATATTTTCCACAGACCAGCAAATCTGGAGTTTACGCGAAGGTTAAACCAGCGTCAACCACTTCGTGCGTCTTCATCATCCCGGATGATTTTCTGGCCGCAGCCTGGATCCCAGCACCGGCCCGGATCCTCGGAGTCCAGCTGGAGGGTTCTGACCAGCGGCCCTGCACGGCCTGGAGAAGCGCACTAGTCTGGTTTGCTACACGGTGAAATCCATCTGGCACGTCCTATAATGTGGTGAGTTTTTAGATGTTGCGACCTCATTTGGAAAAGGAAGCACACAATAAACACACACACACAAATCCTAATATACCTCAAAAGGAGAAAAGATAATGCGAATGTAGAGAGAGAGAGAGTGTGTGTATAGATATATTTATGCTAAATATTTGAATTTCAATCATGTATTATTAGTTATTTGTAGGTGTGGAGGAAGTAGGCTAAATAAAACCTGTGCTGGCCAGAGCGACATAAATAAAACATCCACAGCATCAACAACACCGAGCAGAGCTGCTCTGTCTGCACAGGGATCGGTTTTAGCCACAATGTGAGTCAAATGTTATTCAGCAATGTGTCAGTTCTTTACAGCAAGCAGACATTTTATAGAAGATGGCTTGAATTTTGTCACACAAAAAAAAAATCTGCTCGAACCATCAACATAAAGACACCAAATAAAACACACTGCAAGCGCATGTTTTGTTGGTTGTAACTTTTGGCAGAAACAACAACAACAATAGTAGTAATAATAACAACAATAATAATAATAATAATAATAATAATAATAATAATAATAATAATAATAACAATAAATCGATTAAATATATTAAGTGAGAGTTTAAGGAAGTGGGCTCGGATTTACTCCGAATAAAAAAGAAACAGATTATTGGTAACGTCAAGGTCATTTATTTCTTTCTTTATTTTTTTTTACTAAAAATGCATTTTTAATAACAGATATCAAAGCTTTCATCTTGCATATTTTAAGATAAGTTCTTCATACCCTTTTCTTCCAGAGCACAAGATTTTCAGTCCACCTTGGGCCGGAGGTGAACATTTCCAGCAGCCGCTCCACGTTCCTCCCGGAGTGAAGTGCGTCGTTATGAGGACTAGCCAATAGCGATGGAAGCTGGCTCAGGAGTCGTCCAATAGAGACAGAGTTTCCGGTAGTGGGCGGGTGCTGGAGGCTCTGGATGCTCTGAGATCCACTAAATCCCACAGTATGGAAGATATGCGAACCCTGAGCTTTTGGGAGATTCTGTGTGGACACTGTCAAACCCAACAGCCGTCACATTAGAGAGCTGACAGTCGTATTTGCGTTGAGGTAAGCAAACAGAGCATGTATTAATTTGTAGTGAAATGGAAATTGAAAATACAGGCGCTGTATTTTTATAGAACGATTCAAACAAGTGTCAGTTTTATGTAAACTGGCGACTCAGTGCTTTTTGAAGACAGACATAAGCTATGGCTCACACAGATGTGTGTACATACGATCTGTCTGAATGTTTCGTCCTACAGGGCCCACGGTGGTTCCACGAATAACTTCAACACCAGGTATGATGGATCCCAGAGCGCGGTGAGCCCCCGAGCTGGGCCGACGCCACTTCAGCGGCCAGAAATCCAGGAATTAGCCACATCCTGTCCGCCGCCAGTCGCAGGAACACCTGGAAACATGGGCCGGTGTTGACGTGCCGGTGATGTGTGCTGGGGACGTGAGGCCGAGCGGTAGGAGCCGCGATGAGAAACGTTCACAGTGACTGACCACAGCCAGACTCACAGCGACACACACACACAACATGAAGGAGAAGTCTAAAAATGCGGCCCGGACTCGACGGGAGAAGGAAAACAGTGAATTTTATGAACTGGCCAAACTGTTGCCGCTGCCCTCCGCGATCACCTCCCAGCTGGATAAAGCCTCGATCATACGACTGACAACGAGCTACCTGAAGATGAGAGTCGTGTTTCCTGAAGGTAAGGGATCTGCGTCTAAATGCTGGTGAAGAGAATGAAGCCAATTAAAAGTAGCAACTGAGCAACACCATGAACACATCGGGAACAGTAATAATCACAAGCAGCTGTGCAGTCAGATGAAGCCAATGAGCTCCGGTGGTGTGACTGTTGATGACTGCGGTGATCCTGGTCCTGGTTCAGCCCGTCAGTGGTGTGAACAACAACTTTGTTCATATTTCATCTTTTTGGTGTTGTGTCGTTTTTAATGCATTTTTATTATTTTTGTATTTATTTATTTTTTAGTATCGAAAACACATTTGAAGTATTGAAGCTTTCTTCATTTTTTTCAAGCATTTTTTGTGCAGTCAGTCTGCGTTTTCTAATATCTGGCTGACAAATTTAACAAAAGTGAATCATACAAAATTAAATCTCCAGTATATTTTATTTTTATGAATTCTTTTGACTTTATTGTCGCCGTCTGCTTGTGCTGGATCGTTGCTTTCAACTAAACACTGAGCGGGTCAACATGGAGGAGGTCGAGGCTTGTGGCCGCATTTGAATCAGTGTATTTAGTTCACACTAATCTTTGCTGCATTGATCTAGTCTAGTACTAGTGAAACATCTTTCACTGGCGTTTAAATAATACTGGTGACCTTTAGATATAGAATTAAGAATTTCGCCGCGTGCTCGTGAAGCACGTTGGTATTTATATCAGCCAAAGTCCTATCTGCGGAATAAATGTTCTCCTCACTCCATCCTTCTTTGTGAGTGAATGGAGTCAGCAGCAGCCTGGATATCTGTCCATGTGCGCAGCCGGCAGTGATGTGGGTTTTCTCCGGGGCCCCTGGCGGCCTCTGCCAGCAGATTAGCTGTGATGAGACTCCATCCTGCGTGACTGCTGCAGAGCCGTGGATATTAGTAAGATCGGCACGTCTGAGCCTTCAACATATGGAGCTACTTGTAACAGTCAGGCAGACTGTGATGCAGGGAAGGTGGAGTGACAAAGAACCTGGAGGGAAAACACAAAAGAAACAAGGACCTGGCTCAAGTTGGTTTGTTACACCAGAGAGGCAGGCAGCTATGTTGAAAAGCTTCTACTGATCATTTACATAAGTGGATTGAGTGACTTCTACAATAGTCATCATGATCATTATCTGCAGCAAATCTGCTTCTTTTTTTTTTTACTGCAAATTTGCTCATTCATACCAACCTCGTTCTTAGTTTAATATATATATATATATATATACACACCATGGGTTTGCATCACACGGACCATTTTTTGGTGAAGTCTTAAGTCGTTCAAACTTTGGTTTAACATGATCAACATGGGGGTGCTTTTAAAGATTGCAGTATTTTTAGTTATTAATTTTTTTTACTGCAATCTTTAAAAGCACCCCCATGTTGATCATATATATATGCATATAAACAGAGAATGATGTTGATTACCATGATTAAATTGAGAGATTCGTATAAATGATTAAAGTATTTTATAAAGACCAGTACAGAGGGATTGGACAGGATCTCTTACTGCTGAACTGCAGGATTCCACAAAATACAACATGACAGAAATAAGAATCTCAATCTGAAGTAGGGGTCCTCGGACCCTAATTAGTTTGATCAATTTACCTTCACTTAAGATAACTACATTTAATGTTTTTAACATTAAGGTACTTATTCCTGCCAGAATCCTGCTGTTGCTATTCCATATCTGTATTTGTAAGGCCACATGTACAGCGCAGGGCTGTATGTTACATAAATAACCCAAAAGCAGTCATATTGTTGTGTTCCAGGGATTGTCTGGCACAGTCACCTACAATCTGCATTTCTTTCATGACTGGAAAATTACTGGCTATCACACTGTGCTCCTTCACATGTGTGCAACATAAACTTGCTTGCTAAGCTGTAAATAATTTAGGGGACAGTTTTGCTCATGCCTGTCTTCCCTTCTCCCTTTTGGACCTCCTCACCCAGGATTCTTACCCCTTTTTTCTCAAAGGACTCCAACATACATTGAACCTAGAAGAATTCCATCTGTATGGGCTTTTGCATAAGTGGGGAGAAAAAAAAAAGACAGAAAGAAAGTGTTCCTAATTTTTGTTTTTTTTTTGTCTGTGGCTTTATGGGGGGTCACTTTTATTTATGGCACACTGGTCAGAGTCGTAGCATGACCTTTGACTCCAGCCATGTTATCCATCCTGGGTTAAATTACATGACACCCCACACCACCAATATCTGGCTGAATTCTCCTCTCTGAAGTTTTGGAAGATATTACAACAGTGAAGAGGATTTTTAAGTCACTGTCTATCATATTTACTTTGCATTTGCAAAATCCAATTTATTCATTTGTTTACTGCAATAAAACATGTAATAATAGTTTATTTGTAGGCTACAGTCGCTTAAAAGTCCAGATGAATTGAAAGCATGTAAAGAGGATCAGAATGAACGCACACTGGCTTCTCACTAGCTTTTTCCTCTTTCAACCGCATTTAACTGTGCTGCTCAGCATGTGGCCCAACATTTGTGGGACGCGCTCCCCTTCAGATATCAGACGTGTGTGTGTGCGCGTGTTTGTGTTTTCTCCTAATAGTTCTAAATGAACTATAAACTACTGTCTCGTTTTTACTGTATAGTCGATTCATTTTTTACACGGGACTTTTATTTTTTCCCCGTTCCTACTGACTGCTTGACTGACTGCGACTGTGGAAGGGCTTATTGTGCCAAAAGTGAATTATTATTATTATGATTAGAGCTGCTGTTCGTTCATGGTGTTAAACACAGTGACCCGTTCTACTGTGGACTGAGCTCAGTGACAGGGTTCCAACAGTGACCTGTTCATTGTGGTCGACTGTTGAATTGTGCGACATCAAATGATTTTCCTTGACCTGAGCGTTCATACCTGTGATCGCTTTGCAGTTATTTTAGTTATGAGCTACATTTTATTCAGTATTATAGTATTTTTTATATGTGTTTTATTTAGTGAATTAAACGAAAGTTTAATGTTTTATTACTTGATATTAATGTTGTTGCTTTTTTGTTTTTAGTAAACATCTTCTTGTATTTAAGTCACCAGCAGTAGTACTCAAGTTACAGGTCACGGATTCTAAAGCTTATGAAATTAAAAGGAATAGAAATTTACAATTAAATTAAATTAGTATATATATAATATCTATCTATCTATCTATCTATCTATCTATCTATCTATCTATCTATCTATCTATCTATCTATCTATCTATCTATCTTTATATATATATATGAAATGAAATGAAAAATACTTTATTTATCCCAGAAGGGAAATATATGATTATTAATATTATTACCTTTCCTTTCAGAAATTGGCTTTTGCGTGAACGATTTAAAAGTTCGGTCCAATCTATGGCCACCGCCCATTCAGTGACAAATAAACATGTCTTTTGAAAATTATTATTATTGTTAAAAAAAAAAAAAAAGATTAACAAGTAATAAAGTTTTGAACCTCTGCTTTAATAATTTAAAATGACTCGTTTTTGTACCCCGACATCTCGTCTGGATGTTAATGAATAAAATAATACAGACATCATTATATATGTCTTCAGACAAACTGCCCAGTGAAGGTGTGTGTTTCGTCGCAGGTGCGCCAAAAAGAAGCCGCAGTTCGATGAGCGCAGTGTCCGCAGTGTCCGTGCAGGTCCACACCACCTGCAGCCTCAACCACTGGGATAAATAATACGAGGATATATAATAACACGGCCTTAGTGAAGCTTTCACGAGCCTCCGTGATCCTTTAGACACTCAGCAGCACTTGTTGCCTTGCTCTACATAAACGTTGTGTCAGTAGCTTCTTGTACCACATTTCCACTGCGTTACTGTCATTTCTAGGATTTTTTCCAGAACCTTTTCAACTGATAGCAGGAGACCTTGTAATAAAATGCCATCAAATTAATGTTTTTTAGAACAACATTTGTATTGAGGGTCTGCATGTGGATGAGACCAACAGCAACCCCTCTGAGAACTAAATCTCACCAACCGTTGAGGAGCAGGCCCTGTGTGCCTGTGCTGCAGTGTTCTGCACCATATGTTCAGCCACAGAACGACGGACATGAGCTGCTGCTTCTAGATGAAATGAATGCTCTCAGCGGTGTTTGTTGCTGCAATAAAGCGTGTAAAAGCTCCGTCGTTCAATTTATTTGTCTTTAATATGAAGTGGAAGTCGGTGCATTTTGGAGATAATTTGATTGTGTGTCTTTGTGCGAGCGTGAAGTCCACATTGGCTCCATGTGAGGCGGGAGGCGGCGGCGCGCTGTGGCCGCGGCACGCCGCCTGTTTGCTCTGCTCGGCCGGATTTGCATTTCAATGCGCAGCGCTGCCGCACGTCGTGGCCGCCGCGGCTCCGGGCCTCTGCTGTTCCTACTGGTGTTGCGAGGGCTTTATCCAAGTGTTTTCACGCTACTACATTTGCAGTGGTTTGATAAAAGTCGGAGTCTATTTTTAGCTTTAGTGTATTTTACGCTTGCGCTCGGATGATTTTATTTTTGTGTTGGTCACTGCGCAGTTGAAGGAGGCGATATAGTGAGAATTATAAACTGTAGATCATTCAATTTAAAATGTAATTTCCGTCTGCAGACGCACTTGTAAGCCTACCAATAGCGTGAGCAGTTTACTAGATAAAGATTCCAATTCATTTATATATATACTTACAGGTTTTCCCATACACTCCGCACTGCGCCAGACACACGGGCCAAACTGTACATTTGTTTTACTAACACAACTTTTAACGACGTTATGCTTGTTTAAAAGTGTCTTTGTACGTCTTGCTTCACTTTCGCCGTCGTGGTAAAATAAGACATGTTTTTTAGTAATTATATGTCTGTGCATGGGTTGATTTGTTTCCCAGGCCTCGGGGAGTCCTGGGGTCACGTGACTCGCAGCAGCTCTCTGGATGGAGTCGGCCAGGAGCTGGGCTCACACCTGCTACAGGTAGCTGCCGTGAGGAGGAACCGCGCTTTACACAAACACCAAAAAGTGCAAATTTCAATCATTTCACTGCTCACATCTTTGGGAAAATACTATCTAAATTATTATTATTATTATTATTATTATTATTATTATTATTATTATTATTATTATTACAGTAATAAACGAACCAGACTATAGGTAAACTCTGTGTGTGGTTTAGCTGCTGCCATCTGCCTCCTGCTGCCATCATTCTGGGGCTTTAACAGTGAAATGAGCTGAACACATTCCTGGTCACGCACAGAGCCTCAGTCTGTCCTGCACCCCGTCTCACATCAGCAGCAGCAGCAACACAATGGAGCATGGCTGCAGGCCTACAGGCTGGTCAGACAAACGTACCCATCAAAGCCGAATTTATAATGATAATGTTGGACAACTGGTCTAACTGACAGGACTCTATGCTGACCAGTGCAAAAGATGACCACAGATTTAAAGACAATTCAGTTCAATTCAATTTTATTTATATAGCACAGTTTACAACACGTTATCACACATGGCTTAACAAAGTAAGGTGTTGACCTTACAAGTGACTACAAGTTAGATGGAGAGGACAAGCAGCTTTGGCAGTATGCTGTCCAACAAATAAACATTAATTTCATTACAGACTGAGATGATTCTCACTAGTAATGTTTCACATTATAATAATAATAATAATAATAATAATAACAATAATAATAATAATTATTATTATTATTATTATTATTATCATCATTATTGTTATTATTATTTTCAGTAAATGTCACTAATACTAACAATAGTAAAATATTTTGTAACAATGTTGTTTTAGCAATTAGTCTGGTTTAAAAGCTACTTTGCAGAGAGTTGAATAAGACTCTATGGTATATTGTCCACGCAAATGGCTGAAGAAAGTAATGCTGATTTTATTAACTGTAAAAATGTTTTGTGGCCTTTTGTGAGTATCTAATATTATAACACTGGTTTTAATCTTTCTTTCAGACACTGGATGGCTTCATTTTTGTGGTCGCTCCAGATGGGAAAATAATGTACATATCTGAAACAGCATCAGTCCACTTGGGCCTGTCGCAGGTTGGTTTGACAAACGGGCATGGGACCTCTGAGCCTGATGTGACACAGTTCTGAGCTAAATGTTGATCTCAACAGGTGGAGTTGACGGGAAACAGCATTTATGAATACATCCACCCAGCAGATCATGATGAAATGACAGCCGTCCTCACAGCACACCAGCCTTACCACTCACACTTTGTCCAAGGTAATCAGTGGCTCAGGCATGTTGTTTTCATTGGACATGGACTCACCAAGCAGCATGAATAACTTGAGGTTTTGCTTTTTTTTTTTTCTCTCTCAACAGAATATGAGATGGAGCGCTCCTTCTTTCTAAGAATGAAATGTGTCCTCGCTAAAAGAAATGCTGGCCTCACTTGTGGTGGCTACAAGGTAGTAGGATTGTCCAGCTACATACTTTTAAACGCAGTTGTATTTATTTATGCTTTTACTAGTTAAATGACAAATTGAAGGAATGAGCAGTGAAATGTTCTAGTTGAAACAAACAGGGAAAAAAATATCAAAGGAAAACTCTAAATTTTTATGATACATTTTTAGTGTTTTAGTTTTTGCTTATACACGACAAATGTTAACATAGAAGCATCTCCCAAATGTGCTTTTTAGGTTAGCCCCTCAAATTGATTATAACTGATAGTCTCAGACTTTGCACTTGTAAGGATAGCAAGACTTAAATGAAGAGACCCTGCTAGGAGCTGCTACAGCCCCCAGTGTTCATAACACCCATACATGTGACAATTTTGTTTGTTCAAGTACATTACCAGTAGCAGTGAAAACACTGAGGATGGTAGAAAACAAATGGCTATAGGATCATACAAATCCATGGAGTTTATCTATTGCAAATATAAATCTGCTCAGCAAATTGCATTGCTTTCTGCCTATTACTTGCTATCTTGAGTGCAAAGGTTAAATTTGATCCTGAAGATGGTTTTAGAAAAAGGTTTGTGGAGAGTCCAGACTCTACTGCAGGGAGTATTAATGTGACAAATAAATGGCCCATGATGCAGGTTCATTGTCCAGGTATACACACCTATTGAAAAACCATGTATGGTATGTTTGGTTCTGGCCTGACCTCTGTCTTTCTTTTCCCAGACCACACAGGCAAAAACCTTAATTCATTTCTTATTAGACTGAAACTTTATGAAGTGTTTTCTTCTAGAATAGATGAACAGAAAAAAAGCAGGCAAGGAAGAAAACAACATAAATACACTTCATTTGATCATTATGTCAGTGTGCTAACTTATGCATTATCAGTCACAGCAAATTAGAATTTTAGCCAGCCTTCAGACACTGTGTGTTGCTTCAGGAGCTAGTGAGATCGTGAGTTTCCATCGAGAAACAGGAAGGGGAACTAGCTCAGTTGTTAATACTATGGGATCCTTTTACAACTCTGGAAAGGTATCACAGCTAATCGTTTTATCTTGCGATTGCAAGGAAAACAGGGGCTCTCCTCTTGACTCTGTGACTCTTAATAGGACTTAGTGGCTTCCATATATGAATTGATATTTTTACTTTCTGTGTCCATGTGCCAACTGTTGGCCTAGGTGATCCACTGTAGTGGCTACCTGAAAATCCGTCAGTACAGCCTGGACATGTCTCCATTTGACGGCTGCTATCAGAATGTCGGCTTGGTTGCTGTTGGACACTCACTGCCTCCCAGCGCTGTCACTGAGATCAAACTGCACAGCAATATGTTTATGTTCAGGGCCAGTCTGGACATGAAGCTCATCTTTCTTGACTCACGGTAGATTCCACACCACACAGTGACTTGTGTCATACATGTTTGTATGTAAGTGTGAAAATATGAGCTTGTTGTATATTTTGTGTGTGGATATGCACATAAGAATGTGGGAAGTCTTAATGACCCCTGGGATGTGTATGTGTGTGTGTATTACTCATGTTCACACATTCTCATTATGGTCTTTTGGTTAAAAAAAAAAAAAAAGTAAGCCCCATATTGTAAGTTATTATATTTGAAAGTAAAGTGTGAATTGACTTGATTTAAGGTAGCAATAAGCCAAGATTAGGGGATAGAGTTAGGCAAGCATGTGATTAAAGCATGTGTGTCTGTATGTATGTGTTGCTTAGGGTTGCAGAGCTGACGGGCTACGAGCCTCAGGATCTAATAGAGAAGACTCTCTATCATCATGTTCACAGCTGTGACTCCTTCCACCTGCGCTGTGCTCATCACTTGTGTGAGTTAGGTTTGTTTAATCTTCTTACAAGTTCTTTGCACACTCACACACTGTTCCAGTATAGACACAGTACATTAGTGTAAATGTTAAATATCTTTTCATGTTATATCAGGCCTGTCATGTTGTGTCATGTCATGTCATGCCAGTAATGTTACTTTCAAGCATTAAGAAATACAAATTTCAGAAATGTCTTTATTAATTTCTAATTTAAACCTATTTACATGCAATTCAGTGAATAACATGTAGTAAGTACAGTATACTTTTCCTGTTAGCTTGGATTTTTACCAACCAATAATAATATCCTCTTATTTGCTTCCTGTCTTTTGGTCTTGTAGTGCTGGTGAAAGGTCAGGTCACCACAAAGTACTACCGGTTCTTGGCCAAGCAAGGTGGCTGGGTCTGGGTTCAGAGTTATGCAACCATTGTACACAACAGCCGCTCATCCAGACCTCACTGCATAGTCAGTGTCAACTATGTTCTCACGTGAGTGCCTGTCTTTATTCCTAAATGCTGTTAAAATTACCTTCACTATATGAATGAAAGGAGATCCAGAAAGAAATATTTCTGTTTGTCTGTGATTCTGTTAAACATAACCTGTTTAGTTATGCTGTGTGATGCTAGAGATGCTGTCACATAAGACTTGGTGATATAGAAAACGCATATGATGACCATTGTTTCAAATGTCTATTATTGAAATACATGTTTTTTTTAATGTGTTGTATTTTTTATTCTAAAAGTGGCAACTTACTACATTAGCCAGCTTACAATATGGCAATCCCAAAAATGACAACAGGAATACTTGCACTCCATGTGTGCACACCACAGTAAAGGGATTACTATGAGTTGTCTCTGACTTATGAATTAAATGTAAAAGAGACAGAAAATGTACTGCTTGCTGATCTGAGTTTGTGTTTGTTTAGGGGGCATTGTGTCTGGTTACTTGAAGTGTAGTCATGTGTGCGTTCTGTTTATTTAGTCTTATGCTGATCATTATCATTTTTAGATATCAGGCTGTGGTCTTGGTATGCTAACTTTTGTACTCTATTTTCGTTGGAATCTAATAACTAAAGTAAGTGCCTGTTTTGTACCTAGTAGAGGATGGGGTTGTGATAGCAGTGGGGAACAACCTTTTCCTCAATGTAAATAATGAAGACAGCCTTGCTGATGGTTCGGGTCTTTTATCATAAATTAAAAAATAAGGTTTTAGTTTTAGGCCAATTCATACAGGCTACAGCCATGTTAATAAATGATACCATAATGAATCATTTAATTGTCTTCCATCAGCTACAGTGCATTGCAGCATTATTGGCTGTTCTCTAAGCTAGTCTAGTGTCTTAGCAAGAGTCTCACTAACTGTGATAAAAATGACAATCACAGATAATTCTGGTGATACTGCATGTGAAAACCCCATTCTAGTGAAAAAACTATTAAATTATATGTAATTGTAATACAAACTACCCATAGTTTGAAGCACTGTTTTATATTGATTAGTGATACTTAATAGCAAAACAATACACTGTTGAACACTCGGCACTTGTAAGTCAGAAGGGTTTGGTGTAAAATGACAGACAGGCATGGCAGTTGCAGGACAGAGAGGCCTGCTCACATCTCTGCTGTGCTGTCATTCAATGCTTTGATAAGGTAATGAGTATTTGTACAAGAGATTTACGCAAACAGTTGCTGTAAAGCAATTAACTGGAGGTTAATTGAAAATATGACATGTGTTTGTTAAAGCCTGGTTAGCAGAATCTGGCAATCTAACAAGTCTTATTCAATTTTTAAATCAGTATTGCAGTAGCCTAAGGTCAAAACAAAGTAAATGGGGTTATGATTAGGATTTCGTTCAGGAAAAACAGACCTTTTGTGATATTCTGCCTTTGATGAGAGCAAACATTTCTGTACTATCAGTAAATCTCCTCTCTTGTGTTAAATGCGATGGTGCTCTGTGGTGGCATCTTGTAGTAGAGTTTATCTAAGACTGGCAGCTCTGTCTGCAGAGTGTATAGAGAGAAGCTGGGATGGAGACCTTTCTGTCTGGAACTGCATTTGCTTGGTCTTTATCTTGCAACAGCTGTCCAACAGCACTGGCTTACCAGTAAAATCATCATTACAAGCTTCTACTTTTCACTTCTTCCAATAAAACCAAACTGTAATCATGGCAGGGATGCTACCTGCATGCCACCCTGTATTATCAGTAAGTGAAGGATACCATTTGTTTGTCCATTATCTCATTATTTTATTACCCCTGGTGTGTGTGTTTCACAGATGTACATGAGAGCGCATGAATGAAAAAGATCTATAAAACTCTCCATTAAGCAGCACGGTTGGCTGCATTCAGAGGCACAGAACAGCTTGACACACATTTTCTCCACCTCCTACATCAAATCCATAACAGCTTTGTGTTTATGGGCTTTTAATTGATAGGTTGTAAACATGATGAGCGTTTATGGGCTCCAGCTTGCTGTGTAGGGAATGAAGCCTTATTTCCCTCCTGTTCTCCTTGCTCTGCTTTCCTTTTTTTTGTGACACTGTATAGATGGAGCTATGCAACAATGGTGGATGGAGGCACCATGCTTTGCTTTTTTGTGTGTGTGTGTGTGTGTGTGTGTGTGTGCGTGTGTGAGGAGGTTGGGGGTGAACAAAAGACAGAGATACACAGGGGAGGTAGGCTTTTGTGTATTGTTGTTATCAGGAACAAAGTGGGTTTACCCAGTAGCTTTAGTGTATACAGTCAGGGGTAACATAAGTGATGAGGGCACTTCACCTGCATATGAACTCTGACTATGTGTTTAGCTCTGATAACCTCTGCCCCGCGTCTTTAGACCTGCCCCACTGTCCCAACCTGACAGTGATTTAGCAATCTTTTGAATAAAGGAATGTCTGCTCCACAAGCAAGCTTGTATTACTCGTCTCACTTACAAGCTACACTGTTTGTTTAACCCTAGAACGCTAATGTTAAAATTAGTAACACCATCACTAACGCCAGGTATATTTTACCCGATATAATATTCCGGATAAAATATAGTTTTCATCACTTTATGTAAAAGTACAACACTGTATGCCAAATTTTACTCTTTTTTAATTTCCCAATATACAATATCACATAAAATTTTTTTAAAAAAAGGTCCCATGGAGGACCCTATAAAAAGGCAGCAAAATTATTTAAAAATCAGGTAATCCTTAACGACAAATTTCCAAACAAAAAAACAGTGGAGCTGGGAACTTGTTCTTTGGTCCAGCCATTCCTGGGACATGTGAGCCTTTTCTGGTGAAGGCACAGTCTTCCTGCATCACTGACAACTGTGGCAGAGATTGACAAAAAATGGCATTTTTTGAGAGGGAAAAATTTGCAAATATTATTGACTATATGAATTTCCTTGGAAAGACTCCATACCAGAACCAAACTGTGCCTTCACCAGACAAGGCTCACATGTCTCAGTACTACAGTTTGGCATACAGTGTTGTACTTTTACATAAATTGATGAAAACTATATTTTATCCGGAATATTATATCGGATAAAATATACCCGGCATTAGTGATGGTGTTACTAATTTTAACGTTAGTGTGCTCTTGTATTTCCTTCTCAGTCAGGTATTTCACTGATTTTCTGGACATTTCTTTTTCCCCTCTCTCTCTCTCTCTCTCTGAGTGCTACAACTTCACTTGTAGCTAAAAGCTTAGCTTTAGTAGAAAAAAAGAAATCTGCGTAGCTAATGATTGCAGATGTAAATTAACATTAGCTACATGTTACTCACTTGTTAGCAAGCCAGAGTAATTAAGCCTGTTACAGAATGACAGCTGTGGATGAAATGGGGCAGAGGATGTGGCCGGCCTGAATGTTGTTTCCCTTGAAAAGTGCAAAGAGCGCCTGATTTCAACACACAAACACTACCATTGGGTAAATGCCACCCATAAAATATGTTGCCCTCTATCACTAACGCCGGGTGAAAATCACCCGAACGCATGCCTCCATAAAAAAAAAAACATAGATTGGAGGTGGGAAACAAACATACCATTAATGACATCAATGAGCAGCCTGAAGCTACCCAAGGACCCATGCAACTCAGACAGCAGCAACACAATGAAAATCACATGACAAAAATCGTGCGGTGAAAATCACTGGACGTTAGTGTTCTAGGGTTAATCAGTGATGCAGTGATGCTGTGCTCTCATTAACCTGGATTTATATTTATACTTTAAACTTGTACTTCTACAGTGTAATATTGACAGCAATGTTGACAAGCACTAAGGATGCACTGTTGGCTACTCTGTAGCTGAGATGCACCTTGTCATACATGTCACTCGTTATGGCTGTGACATCTACGGTGATGCCACATGGATACTGCAGATATAGTTACTGGTAGCTTTTGTTTTCTCTAACTTGTTTCAAATGCTGGTGGAGTTTGTTGTGAGTGTAGCTAACATTAAGGAACGACTTACGGTAGGCTTCTCCAAGACAAGACAAACCTGTAACAAAGCATCCAGTGTTGCAGAGGTAGTCAGTGGGTGGTCAGGTAGTCAGTTATACATTTTGATCATCATTATTCATACCTATGACTCCCATTAACCATTTGCATCGAACTCAATAATTCCAACTTTTTTTAATATGTTTTCATCAGTTGAAATTAATGTTTCAACCACAATTACTTGTTTTGAACACATAGTGTGACAACCTAGAACTGAAACAGTTAGGTGAAAAATGAATGAGCTAAGTTTCTGTATTATTTTTAAACAGCTGGAGTCCAGCTGGTAAGAATTTACTGCTTGTATTTCACTTGTGATTGTTCATTTAAGATTTTTCAGTAATGGAATGGTCATTGGTTATGGACTAAACAAGCAGTTGTGAAATATTGGCATTTGTCACCATTTTCTGATGCTTTGTAGACCACACAATTTATTGATGAACTTAAAGAATTGATCTGCAGATGAATTATGTTCAACTGTATTTTAGTCTGACTTATTGGACGTGGACTTAGTCTTGTATGGGCCAACTAGACTTGGCTTTCGGACAAGGACTTGTTTCTTCAGCACAATCCATACATTCTCAATTGGGTTAAAGTTAGAATTGTAGGGAGCCGGTCTAAAATCATATTTCTAGCCTGATTTAACCATTTGTCACATTTGACGTGTATTTGGGGTCATTGTCTTGTTGGAACACCAAACTGCTTTCAAGAACAATCTGACTGAAGATTTTAGGTTAGTTTAGGAATAGTCAGATAATCCTCCCTTTCTCCATTATTACCTTTAATTTTTGAAAAGCACCGTTCCATTTACAGCGAAACAACCCCAGATCATAATATTATCCACCATGTTTGCAATAGTATGGTATTCTAAAGGTCAAAGACCTTGCCTTCTTTCTTCCAAACGTATTTCTAGGTTTAAAGCTTAATTTTTGTTTCATCAGACCACAGAACATTCTTTCAGAAAGCCTTTTTATTGTCTATGTGATCAGCAATAAACTTCAGTCGAGCCTTAAGGTGCCCCTTCTAGAGGAAGGGCTTCCTTCTTGCACTGTAGCCTCACTGACACCTGTGTTCCAAGAGCTGCTAATTCATTGCAGACTTGCTTTTTGGTGATTCTTTGTTGAGTCCTTACCAATTGTCTCAGCTGCATGCTATATCTTGTGTTTTCTTCCTGAGCATGACAGTGACACAACTCTGCTATGTACTTTATACTTGCAGACAACTCTTTGCACTGTTGATTTTTGCACAGTGACTTTTCTCTGACTTGTTCAAGTCATTGATTTTCTTCTTCAGATCTGTGCAAGCTCCTTAGACTTTCTCAATGCAGCGTTTGGGGCTGAGTCTGATGAGTGTATCAAATAGGCCCTATTTAAATTCTCTCTCAGAAGTCTCCAGCTGTAGTCAATTGTAATCCCTCATAAGGAGTTAAAAGGCCATGCTGCAAGGAACATTTGATTAACACAACTTTTAAATCACAAAAACTGATCATTCAAGATGCTTTATGTATAATTTTGACCCAGCAGTTTCTGTCATTTTTCCAGAAAATCTATAAAGCTATGAAAGAACCAAGATGCAATATTGTTTTTTGTCAAAAAAACCCCCACATTTGTTTCAATGGTTCCATCACAGAAAATTAATAGTTACGGGAATAATTGGAAACACAATACTGTCATGATATACATGGTCTTTAAATGGTAAAAGGTAAATGGTGTGCACTTATTTAGTGCTTTGCTACCTTAGTGGTACTCAAAGTACTTTATAATGTTTTCCATTCACCCATTCACACACAGTGACAGAGCTGCCATGCAAGGGCCTGCATTTACAAGCGTATGTAAACTTTTGTTCACAACTGTGCAAGTTCAAAATGACAAGTTTTGCAGAGGATTTATCATGCAATTAGGAGCTCAGCACTTGCACTATTTTGAAGGGGCACTCCCGCAGCATTCTGGCTTTACAGAATGTTAATGAGGTGAAGCCAGACCTTTCTCCAGCACTGACACAGTGTTGTGGACATAGGTCTGGCTATGTGAGACAAAGTGTAAATTAAACAGGCTACTACAGAACTTTTGTCAGTCACAGATGGGTAAAAGTATTGGTACTGGTAACCCTAACCCTTAGCTCTACCACATCCACCAGATCTGCTGCAGTGCTGTTTGTTTTTTGCTCTTTGTCATGGATTTTAAGGGGAACTTTACGGGAGGGACAAACAGCATTCTTCTATAACATATTCTCTCCTTTAGTGTGTTTGCGTGTTTAGCACTATTATATTCAATTCCATTCAATTTTATTTGTATCGCGCAATTTACAACATTTTTCATCACACAGCACTTAATGTAGTAAGGTGAAGACCTTACGAATTTTAAACAGACTCCAACAATCCAAAGTTGCATTTGGACCTCTTCTGAGCAAATGGTTGGCAGCCATGGGAAGGGACTGAGTTGGGATTTAGAAGTATTTGAATCTGTTGTTTCAACAATCACTAGTATTCTTTTCTAGTTCCTGGTGACTAATGTGTGCAAAGTCCACTTTAAAAAAAAATCCGGGAACTAAAACCAATGTAAAAGTACAATAAAAGGAAAAGATTTGCCTGAAAGCAACAAACTGCGAACATGGTTAACCAAGTCTAAAGATAATTTTGGGCAGCATGGTGAGAGTAGCAGTACTCACTAAATGTAATATATCTGGAATCTCCAATGCAAGTTCTATGAAATGTATCTGCCTGTGTGTATGAATTTGTGTTTGTGCGGTGAGAGATTGAGACAGAGGGGATACATGGAGGATGGATCACTATTTGTCTCAAGTAAACCCTGCCCAGGTTTCCTGCTGTCTCAAACTTGATTCATCATCCATGGTGAGAACACTCTAGCCAGAAATCAATTCCCATTTCCCAGTAGTGAGATGTCCAAGCTTCTCCAATGGGCCTGATTTAGCCAGACATAGCCTTTAATCTCCCAGCGTATTTGATTGGACAGCTTTGCCTCTGTAGAGTGTTTGTTGAAGGCCTTGCTTCAATCCTTCTGGTAAAACAAGCATCCCAACAGCCGTTCTAGCCCTCTTAGCACTCCCCAACCTCTCCCAGCACTCACAATCGCATCCACACACACACAGAAACACATCACTCCACATGCTCAGCACCATCATGAGGTTCTAATTGCAAAACAGATGTTGATGGGGTTTTGTACCAAGAGAAAAACCAAACATGCAGGTACACATGAGCTGTTTGCATTATTTATATAAACAACCTTTCCATGAGACTGGGATCCCCCCTTGTGTAAGCATAGACCATATGAAATCTATCATATGCAAATGCAAAATATCAATAACATTGCTGTAAATGCACCACCTGGATTTCTGCTTGTGTCTGCAGGGAGACAGAATACAAAGGCCTCCAGCTTTCTCTGGAGCAGGCCACATCCAAGACCTCTTTCCCGTACAGCAACAGCACTGCCAGTAGCCGCCCAGAGAACTGCAGAACTCCCAAGAGCAGAGTATCCCGGCCCAAGACAAAAGCTAGACTCTCCCCTTACACACAGGTGAGGTTTACATGACTTACTGGACTTTCATTAATCTTTACATCTCACACAAGTTATGAAGTTGAGCTAAATCACATGTTTAGATAGCGCTTCCTGGTAGTAAGTTTAAAACTAAATGTTGTAGCACTTGTTCTGACTAATTTTAAATGGAGCACACAGAGTACAACTACTGCCTCTTTGAAAGAAGTCAGTTGAGGTGGCTTTGGACACCTGATGAGCGTGCCTTGTAGAAGGTTTAAAAAAAATCTTATATAGCCTGGAAACACTTGAGGATCTAAGAACTGGGGGATGTGGCTGGGAGTTGTTGCGTTGAGTTTGGTGTCTCTGTAATCTTGACCTTCATTGGCTGCACCCAAAATATTGGTAATAGTCTCTAACCTCAAGTTAGTTTTGGATGTAGATAAAGTTACTGATCACTGCAGTGTCTGGGGATGCACCTATGGACAAACAATTATTAGACTAGGATAGTCAGAGTTTTTAATGGCTTAGCCCCAGATGTTCCCACATTATCCTTATGTTTGCTTTCACTGTTTGGTTTTATATGTTTTTCTGTCCCTCATGCCCATTTCTCGCCTCAGTATCCTAGCTTCCAGACAGAGCGATCAGAGTCTGACCAGGACAGTCCATGGGGAAGTAGCCCCCTCACCGACTCTGCCTCCCCTCAGCTGTTGGAGCAAAATGAAGGCCTGGATGCCTCATGTGTCTACAGGCAGTTCACTGATCCTCGCACACTCTCCTACAGCCTGTCTGATGAGCAGCATCACACCACCAGCGACAGCCACACACACTTTCATGGTCAAGGTCAGAGTTGTGAGCGAGGTCGATGTGAGGCAGGCAGATATTTTTTAGGAGCCCCTCCGCCTGGCAGGGATGCATGGTGGGGCAGTGCCCGGTCCATCCTACCACTGAGCAAGAGCTCCTTGGAGAACCATGAAGCATATGACAGCAGCATGCCACACATCGCAGCCATCCACAGTTACCATGGTGAGCAATAAGACTTAACGAATGAGCCAAAGTCTGTATAGTTTTAAGCTGAACCTGCCAACAGACAGTGTACTGTAAAGATGTTTTTCCACCTACATCAAATCCACAGCCACTAATAGCTTCACTGAAGTTGCTTTGCTGTAGGACTGCAGCTGAGTGGTAGTGTTGTCTCAATCCATAACACTCTATATAGGAAACACTAACTTAATGCTGTTGTGCCATATAACTAGAATTAAGATTGTTTTCAATTTTTCAGGAGGAAACTTTAGAAATCAAGAGCAGCTATAGCTGCTAATAAAAATATAAATTCTTGTTATTGTTTACCCTGCAGTGACTGCTTTGACTGTGTCCTCCTGCAGGCCGAAGCCACTGGGATGAAGACAGCGTAGTCAGCTCTCCAGATGGAGGCTCAGCCAGTGACTCAGGGGATCGGTACCGAGCTGACCACTACCGCTGCAGCCCACAGGAGCCCAGCAAGATTGAGACGCTAATCCGAGCCACACAGCAGATGATCAAGGAAGAAGAAAGTAGACTGCAGTTGCGCAAGGGTCCCCAGGACGCCCCACTAGGGCCAGCCAATGGTCTACCCAAGGGTCCTGGTCCTTGCTTCACTTCAGAGTGTACTCAAGGGCCCCTGCCACTACAGACTGTCGTGTGTCGAGGTTTGAGTCAGGTGATCAGCCCTACACCTAGCCCTGCGCCTTTATCCAGGCTCAGCAGTCCTGGCTCTGAGCGCATCCACAAGCCCAAAGACTACCTCCAGACAGACCTTGCCCCCCTTTCTTTGCAATTACACCACCCTTTTGGCCGGCCAGGTGCATGTTCGGCTTCCCCTACGCCGGCCCTCTACCCCTCCCATACCCACCCACGGCCGTACTTGGACAAGCATACAGCATACTCCCTGACAGGCTACGCTCTGGAACACCTCTATGACCCAGACAGTCTCCGGGGCTACTGCACCTCCACCAGCACTGGCCCCACCCACTACGATCACCTCCGCATCCCGGCAGAACAGACACCTGGACACAAAGGCACCTCTGTCATTATCACCAATGGTAGCTAACACTCATCTGACACACAGATTGAGACTATAGTCACATGTTAGCTCCCATTGCAGCAGTAAGCCATTTTCCTGCATCCTGTTAAGTGTTTTTCCATCATACCAGACAATTCTGTTCCAAATCAAATTTATTGTTTCATAATACAGCCAAAATTCAATTTCAAATGATGCTCAAACTTAAATGTCGAAGAAATCTGCTAAAGAACACATGAACCAGTGTTTTTCTGGGTGCTATGTGAATATTTTCAAGAGGGAACAACAAGCTTACATTAAAACAGTGCCTGTAATTCTGGTCGATAATGTTCTATAGCACCTTTGATGAGTGTGTTTGCTTTTTTTTAGGCCCAGGATTGGGTGCAAAATTTGAGAAATGTTTAGAACTAAATCCAAGCATAGATTCTTTCTTTTTTTTGTTAAAGTGAGATCCCAATATAGTCTGACTTGACCTGAACTCTCCCACTTAGACCTGTTCAAAAATGTGGTTGACCCAAACAGACTCCATAGTGAGACAACACTAAGACTGCCAGCAGCATGATGTCCAGTTAATGAACAGCCATGGTTCAAAGCAGCATGAATTAGTTCAAATATTACTTGGAAACCAGCCTGACATGATCTCAGGAGCCAGGACCCGAACAGGCTGAGAAGCATCAATGCTCACTTCCATTATTTCCTTTATGTTCTGGTCCCTCTAGTGGAGCAGAGACATAACCATGTGGTCAGCAGCATGCACAGACAAGGCACACACAGCTAGAAATATAAGACGACTAAGCATGTTCTGCAGCTTTCAAAATTCTGCTTGATTACATCTTCTCTTAATCTCTTTGTCAAATTTGACTCAAGTGCAAACTCAGTTTGCCAGTGGCAGAATATTTTTCCATGCCCTCTAGAACAACACAAAGAAGTGTTGATGCTCTGATGCCCCTATCTGAAGGACGGCATTTGGCTGTGCTAAAGTCACAAATCACTGTTCAATGTTTTATGATGTGATTGGTATAAGCTTGGCTATATTAAGACACAAAGTCCACTTAGTTATGTTTATGGAAAGATCCCAGTTTGTGTTAAAATGTCTACTTCTTTAGAGCAGGTTGTCCTTTAAGATTGGCATTGCACCTCCGGCCCCTTCACATGTCAGTGTCCCTGGGCAAGACACTGAACCCCAAGTTGGTCCCGATGGCAGACAGGCACCTTGCATGGCAGCTCTGTCACCATGCCTGTCTCCATGTATGAATGTGTGTGTGTGAATGGGTGAATGAGAAACACATTTTAAAGCACTGAAAGGGAGAACGGTGATGTGTAAGTGCAGACCATTTAATGATAACCACTTGAGTAAGAACAGGCAATGCTTGTGGTCATGGTTTTTGAAAAAACTTCGACACAGGAAACAATCACCAGTTTCTCATTTTAAATTGTAATGTTTTGTTTACCAAATTGTCCACCCCAACCTTCCCCCTAAAAAGAATCTCTCACCCCTTCCTCCTCTCCTCACAGCTTCAGGAAGTTTTGCCATATGAACATAAACATGTCATTTCAGAGATTTTGCTGGAATGACTGATGCTGTTGTTGTTGGAAGAAGAATCTGCAAAACATACATAAAAAGTCCAATGGAAATGGAAGTAAATTAAACTTTTAAGAGGTGGCATCGGTACTAAAATACTTGTACATTTGATCAGCATTGCTCCATGACTGTTACAGCTCTCCCATACACAAAAATGCAACAGCAAAACTGAACAATACAGTGTATCTCTTCTGCCATTGCCTCATCACAGACTGTTAATAGGTTTGATTTTTCAAAGGGTGAAATGTAGGCCACACAAATGGAAAAACTAACAATGCTCTGGTCAAAATAGATCAGTATGATGGAAAAAAGGAAAACAAAGCAGGGTAGAAAATGGCTGTAGTTTTTTGCTTTAATGTCTGTTCCTGTCTATGTCTCTCCTCCACCTGTCTACGTTGTCCAATTGTTCTATTACTTTTGGTTTTACTGAGCTGTATAGCCTTTTTGCACTATAGGAGATGAAGTTAATGTAAAGCCATCTCCTTTTTCAAGTCCTTTTAGTGAGGAGACATGACAGAGTTGTGTGTGGGGCACTTTGCAGTGATGCAGATGAAGCTTACAGTACAGGTTTGTCCTGAAAAAAAGGGTGTCATTTTAAACTTCACAGACTAATATGCAAAACTGTCCTGTACATGTCTTTTTTTCCCCTCAATTTTTGGTAACTTGAAGGAAATACTAAAGAAAGAGGTAGATACATTGATGACCATCTAGTGAGAACCATGGACACTGAATGCATCGTTGGACATATTTGAATGGGTTACGCAGGACTGTGGTGGAAGGAATATATTTGATTAGCAACCCAATAAAATGAGCCGAGGAATTTTCTACTGCAGTTTAGCAAACGCTAAAGTATGATCCAGGGAACTCATAGAATATATGAAGTATTGTGTGGTTTTCATCGTGATATTTCCAGTAATCATGAGTGACCATAAGAAGACTGACACTTGTGACCATATGCAATTTGTTGGGATGCCAGGTCAGGCAGCTTCACTGCATCAATTACTATGACAGATCCATGAAGCAACTGTTGATTATTGTTATGTTTGGGCATGTTTGTACAACAAGATTCAAGCTTTCTCTTGGATTTTCTTCTTTATATCTTCCTCAGTCCTTAGATGAACCTATATTTATATTGGAAGTTTAGATTATTTTGGTTTTCATTTTGTTAAAGCCTTAAATGTGCTCAGTTTCATGAAGTTATTTATGGTGTACTGTAAATATGCTCAAAAAACAAAATGCTAACACATTTAAGCACATGGGCAAATACTGTATTTATTGACTAAATGTTACTTTATACGTTTGAAATATAGCTGCAATCACATCCAGTCTAACTGCTTGTAAATTGAGTGTGTTTTTGACTGAAGCAAAGTCTAAAAGAAAACAAAATAAAATCATTTTGCAGAAATGGGTCGTGTCATTTTTTTAAAATATCTGCTGGAGCAGAATATTTGATCATGGCTATGTCTATACAGAAGACTTTCAACTAAATGAAAGCATTATCTCACTTATCACATAGACATGCACATGTCACAAAGCATTTTTAAACTGTGATGAATTCATGCATACACATATGGATACACGTGGATATTCCATGTTTCATTAAAATGTTCATAGACAGATGGATTTCTGACTTTTTATTTTAATGTAAATTGTCTGCATGGTATGTTATTTTTAAATAGATTAATTAACAACCTCCAAATAATATGTGCTTCATGTGCATACCGCGTTGGTTGTGTTGTAACTGGCATCAATTTACACAGATATAATGTGAACAAGTATCATGTGGTAACAGATTTTTCACGTGATTCATTTACATCGCACAGATTCAGGGAATTTCACATATTTCATATAAGAAATGTGAGACATCACATGACTAACACCCATTTCACATGTAACATCATGGAACAGAAGACTATTAATAGTTTCTGATGTGCTAAATTCAAATATATGCACCTGTGTTTTTTACGTTTCAAATATAATGCATTCACAACATTGGTAAATGTACTTCAGATACTTCACATTAGGCATGTTGATATAACACACAAAATATTTCCAATGCAATATCATATATAAAACACTATTTAGCATGTGGGGCATTCACATGGCCTGTATTTAGTAAAAAAAAATCTTTTTTTTCTAAAAGGATAGCTGAATGAATTATTTTACTCTGGCTATGCTTTAGTTTGATGACTTTTTGATATGTGTTTTTGGCTGTAAGCACACTAAGATTTGCACAAGTTATTTGTGCCTGCACTGGCAAATAAAGGACACTGATGGAAATCGATATGGCAGAATCTCCAATTAAGCCTGTGGATTTGTGGGTGTATGGAGGTCAGAGATGAGGTCCAGTCTCGTCTCCTCCCTGATAGACATTTACTGTTTGCTTTTGTCCTTTCATTCTGCTCTGCTGACGACTCTGCCAGGCCTCTGCTTCACCTATTACCGCCGTATTAGAAGCCTTTCATCCTGCTAGTTATTCCTCACTTTAGCTCTTGTTTTATCAGCATCTGTCCCGTCCAGCAGATTTTTCACTCACTGTCAGTGAGCCTGATGTAACTCTGCCCATTAGGTGTTACTAAGAAACCAGCAAGGTAGCTAGAAGCAGTGTCAACAGCAAGGCAAGCTGGAGAGGATTCAAAGGTTAGGCCAATGTAATGTCTTTTATCATAAAATAAAATCTATCTTTTCTCATTTTACCAGACTGTCATGTCGTACAATGTGAGGCTCCCACATGCTGTGGTGCATGGATTTAAGAGAGGCTCTTGTCCAACTTATCACTGATCTTTTGGCAAACTACATTTTTTTTATTTTGTTTGTTTTTTCAAAAATAAATAAATAAATAAACATGTATATCACTTTTTAAAAGCATGGTGTTGGAAAGATAACGTCCACAGATATGTCCCATGCTGTCCTACATGAAGTGTGTACTGTTACTCAACCTGTAACATTGTCATCTCACCCATCTATCTACAGTCAGTTCAGAAAGTTTTCAGATCATTTTCTGCACACTTCCTTGTGTGTAGATTTTATTTTCTTTCTAGCGCTCTGTGATAAAACTGTGTGCATAGATCAAAGTGAGGCTGTTCTAAAGCTTTGAATGGACCCAGGAGTACAGTGGTTGTAAGAACAGTGATACTTAACATGTTTGGAACCACCAGGGCTGTTTGTGGATTTGGCCATCTGGCCAAACTGTATGACTGAGTAAGAGAGGCCACGGTTAGGAAGTGAAGCACTGCACTGCCACTCTGACAGAATGTCAGACGTCAGCAGAGATAGAGAACCTGCACGACGATGACCATCTCAGCATCTCTCTATTCATCAGGTCTTCATGGTAGAGCAGCTAAATTAGAACATCCGTTGAATAAAAGCCATTTAACAGCCCACTTGGGATTTACCAAACCTCATTTAAAGGTCTCTCAGAAAACAACTAAACAGATTTTCTCGTCTGATGAGAGAACAACTGAGTTTTTTTGGCAATATAATACTACCACGATACTATTCCTACAGTGAAACATGATATTAGCATCATGCTATGGGGCTGTTTCTTACTAGCAGGGGAAGAGAGATCAGTAAGAACTGAAGGGAGAATGGATGCAGCCAAATACAGAGAGGTCCTTGAAGAAAAACCTCTCAAGAACAGTCAGAGACGGTCCTTGTTAACTGCCATCTAAAGAAAGTCCTGAAGATGGCAGCTAACAGATGCTTCCATCCAACCTGAAGGAGCTTGAGAGGGTTCACCAGCTGTCAAACTCTCAAACTCTGCCTTTAGTTGTCCTCAGAGGCAGTTCTTATCATTTTACTGTCTTCTCTCCAAGCAGCTTTAATCCTCATGGTTTTTTTTGTCTCACAAAGCTCAGATTCTCATCCATCTACACTTTCACAAAGACATCTTAGCTCCTCTTTCCTCTTTTAAGTAGCTGCTTTATTCTTCCTGAGCTTGACATCAGAGCTGTTTCCACCTTTTGCTGTTTTAACTTATCTCCATACTGTTGCACCTCTTGAGCTGTAGCATTAGGGTTATATTTTCTGTGGACAAGTTGAAGTTCTGCTCTTCTCCTTGTACAGCTGTCCTGTTTGGGTGGCGAACAGCCCCAGCATGCTGCTTTTTCTAAATGCCTGAAAGACACAAATACCCATGTTGTGTTTGGCTACAAACACAATCACACAGTTGTAGCTTTTGCTGTTCTTTGCAGGCTGAGCAACACTGGGGTTATTTCAAGTTATGCTTTTGATGTTACAATTTTAATTACATTATGTTTATGATATAACTGCAGTTCTATGAGTCTGAGGCAGTGATTGCCATCCAGGACTACCGCTTAGCTCCACCCATGGGCAGATGGCTGTCCTCTCTCAGTCTGGATATGTCACATGGAGGTTTGCTCCTTTTAAAATGGAGATTTTCATCCCCATTGTCACTACATGTGTGCAATGGAAATTGCCGGGTTTCTTTGGTCATTGTAATATTTCGTGGTCTTAATCTTATATGAGAAATGTCCTGAGATGGCTTAAGTTTAAAATTGGCTCTATATAAATACAGTTACACAGTGACACAAACAAACCAATCTAGATAGTAAGTAGCAACTACAGTGTCTTGTGAAATAATATTATGTTTTTGGGGATAAGAGTCTGGTGGCTTTGAAGAGAACAGAGATAGTTATAACAGCTTCAGTTCCAAACAAGAAAGGGCTGTCTAATGGCAAGGTGTTGACCTCATGCGCAACAGTTCATTGCTTACACAATATGGGTAAGTACCTCATACAAACCCACTGGAGAAAATCACAACAATCCTTTTAGGTGTAAATACTCTCAACTCATCATTGTGATTATTTGCAGGCTCTTCTAATTTACATGATTCATACAACCTGGATACTTTTTTTTTCAGTTTTAAAGGCTGACATGTAAAACATGCATTTCTGTTTTGTAAGGCCTTCATAAGTACAATAAACAAGTTAGCTCTGACTGAGTTGTTAAGTGCCAGTGAAACACTTTGGCCTGAGGGCTGCTGTGCACTTTTAGTCTGCGTTTAAACAATGCTTGTAGACAACAATTGGTTGTTCTAATTGGATTAACTTGTCTAAGTGTTTCCTGAATGTGACAGAGGTTCAGTCATTCTGTTTCCTACTTCCCCTGCTCCCCTTCCCTCTCCTCCCCCGTCTCCCTCCAGCCTGCCTGCAGTTAGAGGTAGCAGTGCATGTCTAATGGAGGCTCCATGAGGTTAACTTCTGCAGTCATTTGTTTTGCAAGCTTTTCTCTGCGGCTCCCCATTCATGTCCACACATACTAGACATGTCACTGACAAATCATTTACAGATGCTTTTCAGATCAACACACTCACCTAACAAGCATTCAGCAGCCTGGGTTCAGTAAATGCATTGACATTAACACTGTGTCATAAAATGCAAACACTTGTGAAAGAGGTTCCCCAAGAACGACTGGATTATTGAGAGTCCAACAGCAGTCAGACTTTCAAATAGGACAGTAGAAAATAAGAATGCAGAGGTCTGGGTGGGAAGATGAACCGATTCTTCTGCCATGAACTTTGGTGACCTGAGTTCTACCCCCAGTTTGAAGCAGTGTTATCATTTCCACCAATTAAAAAAAAAAAAAAAAGTACTTATTACCCAAACCAGTTTTACGAGGATATAAACCTAAACTCCAAAAAACTTAATTCTAAAGACTCAGTGAAAATCAAAGAATGTATCAGGCCTTGCTGTATTATTGCCCACCTTTGCCTTCCATCTGTCCAATATATGTCAAAAATCATGTTTTACTGTGCTGTCGTTAAAATTGGAGAATAAGTAAATATGGCACCACTTTTTATTGTTACAAGCAACACTAATTTGTTAGCAGGAATAATCTCATAACTGGTGAACAGCTGATGTGTAGCCACTGAGCCTCACAAAATGACCTAAAATGCACCATTTGTTAATTGTTACTGCAGGATTGAGGGAAAACTACTTTCAGATTGTAAAAGTAACAAACACAGTAAAGGTTTGTGTAATTACGCTTATAGTCATCATCTATATTGTAACACAAAGTTTAGTTTACTCACCACAAAAGATTTGGATATATGCCACAGTACAGATATTCCAAAATCAAGAAGAGAGAATACAGAAGATCAAGGAAGGATGTAAGTCGACATTGGCCAACAAATGGCAGGATCATGAAAGATCCTCACAACTATCATCATCATACAAGGGGATGCGTTATCTCAACTGCTGTCCTGAATCCTCTCAGTCAGATCATCTCTGATCATCTAGGCAAGGTAGCTACGAATACAGCAACATCTCTTGTACATGGATGACACCAAGCTATGAACCAGGAATGAGCTGTTATGTACATTCATTTCACATTTGTTTAAAGAAACTTCACTTCTTGAATATGGACAAATAGTGAAAGTAAACA